TTATTAATTTAATCTCATTTTCCCAATATTTGAGGTTATGAACGAGATTTTGAAAAACGGTTTTAACTGGCCTCTTTGGATGTTATTTGGCTACTTTTTCATAAAGAAAAAGTCATATCATTCCATTTGATTTGTTTAGGATTTTGGGTCATGGTGTCAAAACCAGCCCCCTGGCGGAGAAGGATTCAACTAAATTCACTTTGTTTTGATTTTTGATTCTTATTGCCCAAGGAATGCTCTTTTCAACGATACCAAATTTGTTACAATCTGTCAAACGGTTAAGAAGTTAAGTTAAAGCAGGTGATTGCAAAAACAATTGAACGCCCCACGCCATCTTTGTTTTTGAAATAACTGAGTTATTTTTTACGAAAATGATAGATAACCTGGTTCTCTTTAAAAATGTGAAAACATTTTTTTAGTTTATTATGGGAATATTTCCAACGGATCAGCGAGGGGCAAGCGGTTTTGAGCACTATCAACGTTGAAATCCTAGCGGTGTAGATTTTTAAGAAAAGGGCCAATTTTATGAGGACAAAGTTCATTAAGCAGAAATTATTGAATCACGTGACAGTGACGATGAACTATCACGTGAATAAAACTGATAATTACAGTGCGTGGGATATCTCATTTTTTTGGATGAAACATACGCTCGGTTTCGGCGGCACAGCCGCCTCACCTCTCGCTTGCGGCGAACATCACACCGCCTTGATCAGTCAATGTTTTCTTTACTGGGACATACGCTGCGCCGCCTCACCTCGCACGCTCAGCGAACTTCATGCCGCCTATCAGTGAACGTTTTCTCGACTTTGACATACGCTCGGTTTCGGCGACTGCGCCGCCTCACCTCGCGCATCCTGCGTCACACCGCCTACCAGTAATGTTTTCTTGAGTGAGACATACGCTGCGCCGCCTCATCTCGCACTTTCGGCAAACTTCATACCGCCTATCAGTCAACTTTTTCTCGGCCTGGACATATGCTCGGTTTCGGCGGCCTCACCTCGCACATACGGCGAACTTCATACCGCCTATCAATCAATGTTTTCTTGAGTTGGACATACGCTGCGCCGCCTCACCTCTCACGCTCAGTGAACTTCATGCCGCCTATCAGTGAACGTCTTCTTGGGTGGGACATACTCTCGGTTTCAGCGGCTGCGTCACCTCGACTCGCACACTCGGCTGATACATCAGCACCTACCGCAATGAAATCTTAGTGGAACTCATTTAATTACTAGCAGATTCCACCTATTGGAAATCTCATTTTCTTGGATGGGACATACGCATCCAACGAACTTCATATCGCCTATCAGCAAATGTTTTCTTGAGTGGAACATGCGCTGCGCCGCCTCACCTCGCATGTTCAGCGAACTTCATACCGCCCATCAGTGAACGTTTTCTCGGCCTGTATAATGGTACGTTCCATTATGGTCCTACGCTTTATTCGATTTTTGTATTTGGGCGAGCGGTCCCGGAATACGGTCCTGTTTTTTTAAATGCGCTTGAAAGTTTCAGGCGCCCAGAAGTCATGGGTTATGGTGAAGTTAGCTGGAATTACAGGACGATTTTGCAAGGGTCAGAACCGTCGTTATCAAGCTTCGGACGTAGCATGGGTGGGTTGACCTGGCGTGCAGATTTTTCGTGTCGAGAGTTCTGATTGGACGAAAAAATTAGCGTTTATTGGTGGATAAGATTGAAATGGGCATGACGGTAAAAGAAAAAGTAGTGGGAATTTGATTGGTCGGAGAGAGCCGTCAGATAATTGAGATTAAGCCGCGAGAGAATTCGCGTTCAGAACTTGAGCGGCCCAAAAAATTAAGTTAGTTATTGTATGTTATTATACATGGTGTAAATAATTCCACTGTTCGAGCTCAAAATTCCATTCTAACAGCGCATAATTCGAGTTTAAGAAGGAAATGAGATGTATCAGCGATTTCGTAAACTTTGCGGAGGCATTTCAAATTTATTTCTACTAAGATGACTAACGACCCCCTCTATTTAACTGCGCTTAATCCTCAGGCCAAAAAAAAGTTAGTCGTACATACTGCCAGTATATGAAATCAAAGTGTTAGGAACCCGCACTATTTACTATCTTATGTATAAAGGGAAGACTTTAAACAACGCCCTGTAACGTTTTGGCGAGCTAGGTTCATATAGTTATGACGTAGCGACATTCTCTCCTAGCGATAATAATAAGAATAATCAAATTCGGCGAGTAGAAAACCGTACAATGTAAATGAGACGTTTAGTATAAAGAAGACCGTATGGAAGACAGAATGCGGTTTTGTGAGGTAGATGGCGCTTCGTTTCGGCATCCTACAAACATGGATGTGTTTCAATGGATTGTTAACAAGGCGTTGACAATTAAGCGTGCCCCAAAGGTATGAAATGATAGGTTTGAAGCATTGTACAGCAGGGTGCGCTGACGTCGAACCTATGTCAGTTGGCGGTAGACGTGGTCAGTCACGAATTACAAGTAGAAGAACCATTACGTTTTCCACGTGAATATTGTCGCCGGGAAAATATTAGAAATCTACCTTCTACTCCGAGAACGGCCACGCCTCTTTTATTTCGAACGAGCCTGATAGGTCGACTACATCAGGCTATTGAGAAGAAACTGCCGTCTGTGGAGAAAATGTTTCAGATTTATTCTGCAGCACAATAAGTGTCGCTCTCTTTTATGACCTTTGACTGAATTTTGTGAGCGGTCCGTGTATTTCCAACAAGTATCCAGATACGAGACCAGCTCACGCGGACTAGCCAAGGTATTACTCCATCCAACTGAAGGAAATTACGCGTTACATTTTGACGACACGGCGCTGTTGATTGCGTAGACAATTTTGAAGATGTACAGTGTTCCAGAAAATATGGTGTAGTATACTCTTATACCCGTCGACGCAGTATTTAATTCTTCATAAAGCAGCAAAAAAGTACGCAGGGGTTCATTCAGAAGGCGTGGTTAAGTTGCATATTAATTCATTTTAAACACCCTGTATATGACAAGATCTATCAGATCTGAAAAGGATCTGTCGAATAGTACCTACGATATTATCTGTTGAACTTCCATTGGTATGTGGGGATTTCCCCGCGTGAGTTCCCGCCATCTGTCTGAGGGTTTGAGATCTCGGCACTCGGATCAAGTTTACGTTTCTGCGCATGCGCATTCCATTCACTAACAGACGCGATTCGTCAAGTTTGCGTTGGGGTTAGTTAACGGTTTCTTTGGGCGCTGATTGAATTCCTGTTCCGTTTCGGTTTTTCCAGGCGGCTCTCTGGAAGAGGTATAAGAGTTCATAGAAGAAGAGCGACCGCGAGGAAGTAAAGTTCGTCTAAAAGAAAGTTTTGACCACCGAAATGGCCGGGACTGCTAGTTTTAATATAACTTTAGGTTAAAGCTATACAGTCATTAGGTCATATCCTTGAGGCATACTGTACCGGGTGACCTCGGCCATATCTCGGGAACCGTTCCTCGTATGACATAGGAGTAAACAAATCTTTGGGTAAATCGGTTATGAAGAATAAAATATTTTCAAGTTCTAAAAATGACCACCAGAGGGCGTAACTGCTATCTTAAATTTTAAAATTGCATTTTCTTTCAATTTCGCATAATAAACTAAACATTCTTTTTTCACATTTTTAAAGAGAGCCAGTTTATCTATCATTTTCGTACAAACAAAAACTCAGCTATTTCAAAAACAAAGATGGCGTGGGGCGTTCAATTGTTTTTGCAATAACCTGCTTTAACTTCTTAACCGTTTGACCGATTGTAACAAATTTGATATCGTTGAAAAGAGTATGGCAACAGCAACACGAATCGAATATACTTAATTTAGTTGAATCCTTCTCCGCCAGGGGGCTAGTTTTGACACTATGATCCAAAATCCTAAAAAAATCAAATGGAATGATATGACTTCTTCTTTATGAAAAAGTAGCCAAATAACATCCAAAGAGACCAGTGAAAACAATTTTTCAAAATCTCGTTCCTAACCTCAAATATTAAGAAAATGAGATTAATTGATTAATTAATAAAAATGCTTAAATTGTATCTCAGTTGGCCTTGCAAAATTAAACTAATGAAACACGATGCATTACAAAATAATAACAGCCGTAATTTGTAAATTATTCTGCTGTGTTGAGATTCAGAAAGTGCAGTTTTTTGAATTTGTAATCTTTTCTAAAATGCCGATTACTAACCAAGAAGCATTTAATATGCTGTCGATATATTTTGAGTATTTTCAAAATGCGACCATCGCTGCCCACATCTTCTATTTGCGTTATCCGAATCGACCACGAACCATTCGCCAACATATTGAATGCTTCTTGGTTTGAAATCGGCATTTTAGAAAAGATTACAAATTCAAAAAACTGCACTTTCTGAATGTCAACACAGCAGAATAATTTACAAATTACGGCTGTTATTTTATAATGCATCGTGTTTCGTTTGTTTAATTTTCCAAGATCAACTAAGATACAATTTAAGCATTTTTATTAATTAATCAATTAATCTCATTTTCCCAATATTTGAGGTTAGGAACGAGATTTTGAAAAATGGTTTTCACTGGTCTCTTTGGATGTTATTTGGCTACTTTTTCATAAAGAAAAAGTTATATCATTCCATTTGATTTTTTTGATTTTTTTAGGATTTTGGATCATAGTGTCAAAACTAGTCCTCTGGCGGAGAAGGATTCAACTAAATTAACTATATTTTGGTTGATTCTTGTTGCCATGCTCTTTTCAACGATACCAAATTTGTTACAATCGGTCAAACGGTTAAGAAGTTAAAGCAGGTTATTGCAAAAACAATTGATCGCCCCACGCCATCTTTGTTTTTGAAATAACTGAGTTTTTGTTTTTAAGAAAATGATAAATAAACTGGTTCTCTTTAAAAATGTGAGAAATATTTTTAGTTTATTATGCGAAATTTAAAGAAAATGAAATTTTTAAATTTAAGATGGCAGTTACGCTCTCTGTTGGTAATTTTTAGAACTTGAAAATATTTTCCAGCGATTCTTCCTGACCGATTTACCCAATAATTTATTTTACCCCTAAGTCATATGACGAACGCTTCTCGAGATATGGCCGAGGAACAGTCTTATTGGGTCACCCGGTACATTGGGGCGAGGGTTCTTACCGAGATAGCAGGTAAACCATCTAACTTCGTTAGTTCCCTTTTCCAGAGTCAAGATAACGAAAACGGGACTCGCGGATTGGCTAAAAGGAGACGCTGTCGCGAGATTTTCGCTAGGTCCGTTTCAGAGTTTCTGCTCCTCAACATAGATAGTATAGAAGAAGGATAAAGGGGAGAGATAGAGACAGTCAGCAGTCGGTCGGTCGGCGATTACAAAAATTTAGATCGGGCGGTTAGCGTGAAAAGAATCGTAATCTAGTCGTTGCGTTTTCGGGAGAGCGGCATACTAGCGGTTTTTCTTGGAGTAATTTCAAACGACAACAAATTAAATTCATTTTCACTCGTTCTACCAAAAATAGAAAGGACGTATTCGCGCAAAGTAAAAAATTGTTCATAAACTCCGATCCCGAAGCAATTAATCCATTATTCAACAAAGACACACCTTTACATCAGAGAAGCTGATAAATCCAGTAATGAATTATTTTCAGTCTTGTAGGAGCGTCAACTCAACTGTCCAGACGAGACGGCCACTCATGGTGACGTCACAAATTGCCAAGAAATGAAACATTTCGTTTGCTAACAGTGCTCACCATAAGGATTATACAAATAAATAGATGTCAGAAGGGTTACCAATAGACTCCAATTTTTAGGACGCGATTTCTTGGTCCCTATCCAGATGGGAGTCTATTGGTACCACCATCGCCATGAACAAACAACCGCGGCATTTCGCGAAGCTCATTGTTTGCGCCACAGCCGAAATAACAAAGGACCTGAATGAGTATATAAACACGCAACTAATCAGGTACAAAACTTATATGTAGGTAGTAGAAATCTTATCGCAGACTAGCTAGATCACCAGTTTCACGTTTAGGCCAGTTCACCATACCTCGCATTTATTCTTCGGATTCATCTTACTACCGGACTTGCATTTGAACTCGTCACTAAATTCCTTTAAATTGGCTAGCGAGCCTAAGACACGTACTCTCGCCGGCGAATGGGCGTCCTTCTCGATCTGTAAGCTCGACGACTCGTTCGTCGCCGACGAGCACCACACCTGCGCGAATGCGATGAAGAAGAGCTGCCGATGGGTTAAATTCAAGCCGGGCAGTGGAGGTGGCTCCGCTTCGCCGTCCGTAACGATTAAGTAGGCGTGATACGCAGCCTTCAATCCGCCATTATCGGCGATATTTTCTCCTAAGGTCTGGTTGCCGTTTATATTTTTATTATTAATCTTAAACTTATCTAAAAATGGCCACCGTTAAACCAAAACACACGGAACGTACTACCTACCGTATTGATCTACGACGCACTTCGTTCGCTCCTTAAATCTTTCGATTGTCTCATTTTTCCACCACCGGTGCATGTTGCCATTCTTATCGTACTCGCGCCCTTGATCGTCGAAACCGTGCGTCAGCTCGTGACCGAGCACCACCCCCATACCGCCATAGTTCAAACTCGCCGGATACCTTGAATCGTAAAACGGTCTCTGCAAAATTCCGGCGGGGAATACCATCTGATTTTTGGTCGGCGTATAGTAGGCGTTGACGGTCGAAGGTGACATGCTCCACGTCGTCTTGTTCACCGGCTCGTTGATCTTCTCCAAATTTTTCCGTAGGGCGTACAGGTTGACCTTAATGTTATTCTCGAAGTACTCGTCGTTGCGAATGTCGAGAATACTGTAACGGTCGTCCAACAAGTTGGGATTGAGGATGAACTCGGGATAGCCTGCGGAAACGGCGTTAACGCGTCGTCGGGGAAACGCGTCGACACTCACCGATCATATCCGAAATGGCGTCGGCTTTCTTCTCGGCCGCTATCCGGGTCTCGACGTCCATCCAGTTTAGGTTCTTAAAGTTGTTTTTAAACGCGGTTCGTACGTTGTTCACCATCGTTTCCGCTTGCGTTTTTGAGTCGCCTTGGAATACCTCTCGCACGAAAATCGCACCAATTGCGAAACCTTTAACAACACTTTTTCAATCGACAAATACAAAAAATTGACGATAGGACAAATTGAATTACGGTTGTTTTGACTTGAGTTCTCACAAAACCCGACGTGAGCTCTATGACGGCTCAAAACGAATTTATTAATTTGCTCTCTCCGAACCAACCAGTCCCCACTAAACATCAGCAAACAGCGGTTTTTAAGAAGCTGCGCAGTGTTCTTATCAACGACCGGATGCGATTCAGCTGCATTGTACCGGGTGACCCAATAAGACTGTTCCTCGGCCATATCTCGAGAACCGTTCGTCATATGACTTAGGGGTAAAAAAATTATTGTGTAAATCGGTCATGAAGAATCGCTGGAAGTTATTTTCAAGTTCTAAAAATGACCAACAGGGAGCGTAACAGCCATCTTAAATTTTAAAATTGCATTTTCTTTAAATTTCGCATAATAAACTAGACCTTTTTTCACATTTTTAAAGAGAACCAGTTTATCGATTTTGGATCATAGTGTCAAAACTTGCCCCCTGACGGAGAATGATTCAACTAAATTAACTATATGATTGTCTTTACTAAAAGCATCTGTGGTTAAAACTTCAAAAAAATATGTCCAAAAATAAGAAAGATGACATTGCGCAATTTGCGCATGCGCACATCGGATTTTTACAATATGCGATATGCTTGTCTTTACTAAAAGCATCTGTAGTTCTACATTCTACAAATCTAGGGAAACATCGGGGCGCCACCAGCCGCCATCAAGGCGATAGAAGATTAGTTTTCGGTTAGGTTGATTCTTGTTGCCCAAGGAATGCTCTTTTCAATGATACCAAATTTGTTGCAATCGGTCAAACGGTTAAGAAGTTAAAGCAGGTTATTGCAAAAACAATTGAACGCCCCACACCATCTTTGTTTTTGAAATAACTGAGTTTTTATTTTTACGAAAATGATAGATAAACTGGTTCTCTTTAAAAATGTAAAAAAATTTTTTTAATTTATTATGCGAAATTTAAAGAAAATGCAATTTTAAAATTTAAAATGGCAGTTACGTCCTCTGTTGGTCATTTTTAGAACTTGAAAATATTTTCAAGCGATTCTTCATAACCGATAATTTTTGTTACCCCTAAGTCATACGACGAACGGTTCCCGAGATATGGCCGAGGAACAGTTTTATTGGGTCACCCGGTACCTCAGCTCTCATGAATTTTAGGTTATCTCGCAACGTAGTAAGTATATGACCATAAATATGGTCCTCACTGTTTAAATGCGTGTGAAAACTTAAGGCGCCGGGAAGTCGTGGGACATGACGAGATTAGCTAGAATTACGGAGCGATTTTACAAAGGTCACATCCGTCGTTATCAAGCTATAGCGTAGGTTTTGCTAACTTTGTGGGAAATTGGTCAGCATAGAATAAATGTATGGACGCCAACCATTCAAATTGAACGAAAAAATTGATGTTACATCAATGAAAAGGGTAAAGTAGTGGATAATTGGTTGTTCGGAGAGAATCACCGCAGGAAATTCCGATTTATACTATACGTCCCGACACCGTCACGTCACCGTACGGGGGAAAATATTCTCGTTGATCAATCTCGAAGGTAACGGCACATATGAATCGCGCTTAAGCCGCGAGAGAATTTGCGTCGAACCGACAGAGAATTGAAATTAGCGCTAAGCTGTGGACGAAGATAAGTCGGTCGACCGTAGATCACCGGGGAGTTGTTTTTTTGTGCGTTGAACCGTTAGGTCACCACCTGTAATTTATAGCAGGGTGGTTTTTATATTTTGTGTTAGAAATCGCGTCGAACCGCTAGAGAAAATTATCGCGAAGCGCTCAGAGCAGTCGGTCAGTCGGTCATCTGTAATTAGGGAAGGGTGTGTTAGAAAATCTCGCAAACGAACTTAAATCATTCAGCGGAAATTTATGCGTTATTTGAATTCGAAACGAAGTTACGTCGACCACCTGTAAATTTTACTTGTGGAGAAATTGAGTGCGCAGTAGGGATTAAATACGAACGAAGATTAAACGCGAATTAAAGTTTTTAGTTACATTCAGTTACAAAAGATAGTTTACTCTTTGGTAACTATTACGATAAATACAAACAATAGCGTATTTTTTTAACCCGCGGAAATAAATGATCGTAATATTCTAAACGAGAATGGACTAAAAATAAAAATTGGGCGCGTTCTAGAGCCCTAAATAAGAACAAATCCAGACAAAAACACATAATAATAGAGGTAGGTACTGAACAAAATTTTACAAAAGAAAAATGAGTGTAAAAAACAAAAATGCAAGGGGCATTGTAAAACTTTGATACATACTTATCTGAATTGAGAAAAATTGTAGCAGAATGTGAATTTGGTACAACGAAAAAGTTTTCATAGATGTCCAGCATTGTTACTTGACGTCGTTGGTGAACAAAAGGGGATTGAACTTTCGCAGTCGAATAATTTATTTATTTATGTATTGAAATAAACAGGCCTGGGCCTAGTTACATTGAACGTGTAAAATTTGCCACATTTCTCGTGAACCGGATAATAATAAACTTGAACGGGAATAAACGATCGATAAGCATTGGAGGTTGACTTCATTCATAAATAGGTCCCTGGCAGTTTCGGAGAAGAAAAGGTATCCGACGGGAAGTTCCAGTAAGTCAAAGGTTACCTGATGAGCCGTGGCCGATTAATGGCGTGAGAATTTATTAGCGCCAGTCTGACAGGCGATAGCACAATTTTAATAGCTTGTACGTGACCAAACAGCCGAATCGGAATTTTTCTCATGCTGACGCCGTGGGGCTGGTAATTTATACGCGCGTGATTGCACGAAGGGGCCGAAGTCTATTGGAGAACGATTAAATATGGCCGCTTTAACCGATTAGCTCCATCTTGTAGGCGTCTTTGAAAATTAAAAAATAGTAGGGTTGCTTCCAGGAGAATTTTGGAGAAAGGCATTCCACCCCTCCCCCAGCTGCCTCCTACCTTAAAAGTGTAATATTGAATTCGTTTGGTCCTTTTAGTGCGCTAAACAATAAAAGCTAATTTGAATGCAGACAATATAAATAGAAAGTTCATTGCCCGAACAATTACACAACAAGGAAGATCCAAGGAAACAGCACCGTCAATTCGGGAAGGTCAGTGCCAAGTTGCACCATTGATTTTGGAAAACGGTATAACTAAGGTAACGTAATTTTCTTTGATTTGCACAAAAATAATGATCGGTTCCCTTTAAGAAAGAAACCAGAAGACTACGCAAATGCATAGCCACGCCATACAAAATAGGTAAATCTAAGTAATGCCAACATCTAATGCCCTACACGTGTGCATGTTGTGCCATAAAAGAGCCTTACACTACCGACTGAACACAAAACTTATACGAAAACTCACCTAAAACGTTATTGGTGTCCGCAATACAATATCGCCATTGCGGTTCCTCTCCGCCCTCCGTCGTGCCCAAAAGCACCTTACGCAACCCCTTATAGGCATCCCGAAACGCCTTCGATAGAAAACTCGTAAACGTCTTAACCGTCTGCCACATCAGGTAATTATTTAAAACTCTGCAACTCCCTCTGTAACAACGCCGCAAAAAATATCAACCAAACTTACATCTTGCCCTCCTCCGTGCCCTGATACTCCTCAATTAGCGTCGTCAGTTTCTCGAGGTACTCGGGCGCGTAAACGACGACGGTCTCTTTCGAACTGATCTTCCTTTTACCCACAATTTTTAAGGCATTTTCGAAGAATAGCTTCCAGTCTATCTGCAAGCGAATAAAGTTACGAGCGCGTGTGTCGGCCGAAATACCTGCGACGTACGAATCCTGCCCGTTCCTGCAGCTCGGAAATCGGCATGGCGTGATAAAGAGATTCTTCGTCTCTTCGTAATTCGGAGGGTGTCGTTATATTCGCTAATTTGGTCTCGAAATCTATCACAGCTTGCATTTGGGCTTGAGTATCGTTCGGATTACCGTTAAGTAGCACTCCCACCTACAGACACTTTTGAGGGAAGAGCTTATGCGACAGTGTGAACGTACCTTTGTCATGTAATCGAGATACGCTTTGAGCAGTTTTTCGTGGTCGGTCGCGTTCAGATAGTTATCTCGTGTCGGCAGCGTCAGTCCGCTCTGATCTATTTGTATGACATGCCGCGACGAGTTACGATCGTCCTCGCCGACTATGTACGAGAACAAAGCACCAATGTTGTACTTGTTCTGTATGGTTTGCAGAACGTTCTGTAAACTCCAAGTTTTTATACTAAAATTAGCGTCGCCGACGCTCCATCCCCCGACTTTACTTATGAGATTAAGCATCGGTTTGGCGTCCAACTCTTCGATCGTTTCGTTAACGTCCAAACAGGATTCGTAATACCACTTAGCTTTCTGTTCGGCTTTCGATTTTAGATTCTCTATTGGTTTTTCTGCAACAACAGATGACATTATCCGCAAGACGAAAACATATAATAAATCGATACAACGGAATATTAAAGGATCTTAAGTTTTATAACAGTCGATTTTCTTGGGAACGGAAACGGAACAAAACGAAAACGGAACTGGAACGGAAAAGAAACGAAAACGGAACGTGATCGGAATGGAAACGGAACTGAAATACAACGGTACGGAATGGAAAGGGTACGGAAACGGAGCGCAACGGAAACGGAGAGCAACGGAAACGGAGCGCAACGGAAACGGAGTGCAACGGAAACGGAGTGCAACGGAAACGGAGCGCAGTGGAATGGAAGGGGGCTGGAAACGAAACGAAAACGGAACGTGATTGGAACGGAAAGGGAACAGAAACGGAAATAGAACAGAAAAAAACGAAATTGAAACGAAACGAAAACGGAACGTAATTGGAACCGAAAGGGAACTGAAATAGAACGGTGCATAACGGAAACGGTACGGAAATTGAAGGGAAACGGTACGAAAACGGAACGGAAACGGAGCGCAACGGAATGGAAGGGGGGCTGGAAACGAAATGAAAACGGAACGTGATTGGAACCGAAATTGAACTGAACGGAACAGGAACGGAAATAGATCAGAAAAAAACGGAATTGAAACGAAACGAAAACAGAACGTGATCGGGATGGAAGGGGAACTGAAATACAAAGGTAAGGAACGGAAACGGTACGGAACCGGAGCGCAACGGAAACGGAGCGCAGCGGAATGGAAGGGGGATGGAAACGAAACGAAAACGGCCCCGTGAATGGAACCGAAACGGAACAGAAATAGAACGGTACAGAACGGAAACGGTACGGAAACGGAACGGAACGGAAACTGAGCGCAACGGAATAGAAGGGGGGCTGGAAACGAAACGAAAACGGAACATGATTGGAACCGAAAGGGAACTGAAATAGAACGGAAACGGAACGGAAGCGGAACGGAACGGAAACAGAACGAGAACGGAACAGGAACGGAAATAGAACAAAAAAACGGAATTGAAACGAAACGAAAACGGAACGTGATTGGAATGGGAAGGAAACGGAAATACAAAGGTAAGGAACGGAAACGGTACGGAACCGGAGCGCAACGGAACCGAAGCGCAGCGGAATGGAAGGGGGCTGGAAACGAAACGAAAACGGAACGTGATTGGAAGCGAAACGGAAATGGAATAGAACGGAAACAGTACGGGAACGGAACGGAACGGAAACGAACCGGATACGTAACGGAAATGGATCAGAAAAAAACGGAACTGAAACGAAACGAAAACGGAACGTGCTTGGAACCGAAAAGGAACTGAAATAGAACGGAAACGGCACGGAAAAGAGAACGGAACGGAAACGGAGCGCAACGGAATGGAAGGGGGACTGGAAACGAAACGAAAACGGAACGTGATTGGAACCGAAAGGGAATTGAAATAGAAAGGAAGCTGAATAAAAAACCGAAATGGGCCGGAGTGAAACTGAGGCGGAACTAAAACAGAAGCGAAACGAAATTTGAATGAAGAAAGGGAAAAGAAGAAGAAAAAAGAAGGTATTATGATAGAGAAAAAAGTGAGGATGGGAAAAGAAAGGGAAAGGGTAAGAGGATTACGAGAAATAGGAGTAAGGAGTGACGAGACATAAAAATCAAGAGAAAGAAAATTAAAAATAAGCCGAAATGAGTGACACAGAAGATATATCGAAAATAGAAAAGTACGGAAGCGAAACGGGAACGAAACGAAACGGATAGGAAGAAGAGTAAGTTGTAGGCTAAAGCAAAAGAAGCAGGGTCAAAAGAAAAGGAAAAAATAGAAGCGAGATGATGAGGAAGGAAGAGAAGGATGTTTACGGAAGTGGAACGGTAACGAAAATACCGGAAATGAACCTAAAACGGAAGTGAATGGTACGGAGCGGAGCGGAAGCGGGAACGAAAACCGAACGGGCACCGCAACGAAACTGACCGGAACCAACTAGAAACAAGACTGAACCGGAACGGATACGGAAAGGAATGGAAACGAAACGGAATTGAAAGGAAACAACGCGGAAGCGGAACGGCGCCGGAACGGATTGGAATTGAATCGGAAATGGGTCGGAAACGAAAGGGAAACAACATCAAAAGGAAAAGAAATGGGAAGAAGAATAGAATAGAAACAGAAGAGCGTGGGGAAAAAATGAAGAGGAACTTGTAGAAGGAAAAGGAATATAAAGAAGATCAAAAGAGAGGGATAATAAAAAAGAAAGAAAGGTTACTGAACGGAAACGGGAACGGAAAAAAAATTAACTAGAAACGAGACAGAAAGAGGACAGATAAGGAACGGAATTGAAACCACAGGGAAGAGGAACAAAAACGGAACAGGGTGGAACGGGAACGGAAGCGGAACAAAACGGAACTGAAAAAAGAACTGGGGCAAGACCATGAAGAGGAAAGAGAGAAGAATGAAGAGAAGATGAAAAAGGAGAAAGGGTGAAAAAGAAAAACTTAAACTTAAAACGGAAGTGAACGGGAACGGTAAGAAGCGGAGCGGAAACGGGAACGAAACCGAACGGAAATCTCAAAGAAACGGACCGGAAGCAATTAGAAACAAGACTGGGCCGAGACGGATACGGAAAGGAATGGAAAGGAAACGGAATTGAAAGGAAACAAAACAGAAGGGCGCCGGAACGGATTGGAATAGAAAGGGAATAGGAACGGAAGCGAAACGGAAATGGAACGAAAGCGAATCGTAAAAGGTTCGGAAACGAAAGGGAAACAACATCAAAAGGAAAAGAAACGGGAACAAAAAAGGAATAGAAACAGAAGAGCGCGGGGAAAAAATGAAGAGGAACTTGTAGAAGGAAAAGGAAATTAAAGAAGATCAAAAAAGAGAGGTAATAAAAAAGAAAGGACACTGAACGAAAACGAAATAGAACGGAAACGGAAGGGGAATCGAACATAAACCACACGGGAAAAAAAATTAACTAGAAATGAGACGGAAACAGGATGGATACGGAACGGAATTGAAAGGACAGAGAAGAGGAACAAAAACGGAACAGGGTGGAACGAGAACGGAAGCGGAACAAAACGGAACAGAAAATAAGAACTGGAGTGCGGAACAGAAAATAAGCACTGGGGTAAGACCATGAAGAGGAAAGGGAGAAGAATGAAGAGAACAGGAAGATGAAAAGAGGTAGAGGAAGAGGTGAAAAAGAGAAAACCGAAAGTGGAAATGGAACTGAAATAGAACGGTACGGAACGGTATGGCAACGAATGGAACACAAACAGAAACGAAACGGAAATGGAACGGAAAGACTAAAAAAGAGGAATAAAGGGAAGAAGGGGGATAGGAAGAGGTGGCATAAGAGAAAAACGGATACGGAACGGGATGGAAACGAAATGGAACTAAAACAGAACGGAAGCGGAATAAAAACGGAACCGAAACGGGCCGGAGTGAAACTGAGACGGAACTGGAACAGAATCGAAATAGAATTTTAATGAAGAAGGGGAAAAGAAGAAGGGAAATGAGGGTATTATGATAGAGAAAAAAGTGAGAATGGGAAACGGAAAGGAAAAGGTGAGAGGAAAAGGAATAAGGGGTAACGAGATATAAAAATCAAAAGAAAGAAAATTGAAAACAAACCGAAATGGGAGATAAAGAAGATAAATCGAGAAAAGGAGAAAAAGGACGGAAGTCAGACGGAAACGAAATGGGAACGGTGGTCAAAAGAAAAGGATAATGAAAATAAGAAGGAGATGAAGAATAAAAACGGGGAATGAGGAAGAAGAGGATGGAAGAGAAGGATATTTACGGAAATGGAACGGAAACAAACCTAAAACGGAAGTGAACGGTACGAGGCGGAGCGGAAACGGGAACGAAACCCCAACAGTAACGAAACTGCAAAGATAAGAACCGGAACCAACTAGAAACAAGACTGAAATGGGGCGGGTACGGAAAGGAATGGAAACGAAACGGAATTGAAAGGAAACGAAGGGGAAGCGGAACCCGAACGGAACGGAGTGGAATAGACGCGGAATGGGAAGGGAAGAGAATAGGAAATGGGTCGACGAAAGGGAAACAAAATCAAAAGGAAAAGGAATGGAATAGAAACAGAAGAACGCGGAGAAAAAATGAAGAGGAACTTGTAGGAGAAAAAGGAACACAAAGAGGTTCACAAGAAAGGGACAATACAAAAGAAAAAAAGGACACTGACCGGAAACGAAGAGGAACGGAACAGAAACCACTCGGAAACTGGAAAATTAACTAGAAACGAAACGGAAACAAAAAGGAAGAGGAACAAAAACGGAAGAGGGTAGAACGGGAACGGAAGCGGAACAAAACTGAACAGAAAAAAAGAACTGGGGTAAGACCGTGAAGAGAAAAGGGAGAAACATGAAGAGGAGAGGAAGATGAAAAAGGGGAAGAGATGGAAGTGAGAAAGGAGCATGATGAATAGAATTAAGATGAAAAAGAGGGGGTGTGAGAAAAATGGTAAAAGGAAAAGACGAAGAAACAGAAGACGAAGTAGAAGAAGAAGGGGAAAGACAATGAAAAACCGAAAAATAAGACAAAGAAACCCAATAAAATGAAGCAAGTCAGGCAATTAACGAAGATGGGACAAGAAAACGGAGAAGATGAAGAAAACAAGAAAAGGAAGAATGCGGGTAATGGAACAAGATGAAAGAAGCGAAGTGGACAAAAAAGACGGTGGCTAGGGTGCATGAAGAGGACACATATGTACATGTTAATGGAGAGGAGCTAGAGAAGAATGTGGCTGTGGAACAATTTCAAAGTCATATTTAACCAGCGGGTGTGAGCCGACTTCCAATTAATGCAATGCGCAACAAGAACATAATAAAACCTGTTAAAACGCAAAGGAGAGTTTATAGGGTACTATTCTTTTTTATATAACACAATGTGAATCTTCATTTAAATTTTACTTAGAGAACATCTTAAAATTTGGATTAGGTAAAACGTTTCTAACAAATACAGTAGTAGTAAATTTAGCTTGAACGCTTGGATTGATTTTGCTTTGTAAAAGAAGTATCATTTAAAATGACTTCTGAGTTAAGTTAATTTTGAATTAATTCTGTTTGTAAGTGCGCATTCGTATTTTCAGTCCATAATTTAAATACATAGCGATCAAAAATGAGTGACCGTCGAGTCACCTTTGGAATTTTTGTTTACATGGGACATCGTGCTTAACTCGAACTTCCAAAGGCGACTCGACAGTCACTCATTTTTGATCGCCCGATACATTCTTACATCATAAATCTGACCACAACATTATTGAATACCCTATAAATGACGATAGTAGTCCCACTGCTTTGTAGTTCACCTGTACCATAATAGTTCTCCTGTTGCACAAATGTTTTTAAACATTTAGAATTAGGTTATGATAATTAGGTATTGTTACATGTAAATTTGAGTGTAAATTTAAAACAAATTATAGCCCCGCATATTAAATTGTTTATATGACTTGTTGCAAGGTTTCGAGTTTGTACTGTCGGTCATTTCGCGAGCCTATAATCGACTTACCCAGAACATGTTTAACAACAAGCTGATTCTCCTGTTCCAGTTTCATGAACGTACCCCAATTACTTTTACCTTCCGGTATTGGATTATTTTTGATCCACCCGTTACACGAGTACGAGTAAAAATCTTCGCACGGATCGGCCGCCGTGTCCATCGCCTGCAGAATCGAACTGGCAATTTCTATACAATTCTTGGTCAGACACGGCTTATGCGCCACATTCGTTGCCACGTTTAAGACCTACGACATTCGTTTGCACTCGACCCACTCAAATTGCTGTGACTCACCGTGCCCTCGCGAATTCGTGTATCGGCCGCCGCCAGTAAGAAAGCCAGCACCATAATAACAAAAGTTAACGTAACCACCAAAATCAACAAGGCCTTCTCTAACAAAGAACGCTTCTTCCACATGCTCGTACTCGTGTAGTACCTTATGTGCGTCGCACTGCTCGTTATCCCTGCAATTTGAAGAGAATTCGTTAGTGTCGTGTCGACACTCACCCGATGGGTACCTTCCCCGAACTGCACACTTCCGACACTTGTGTCATCGTCTGCAAACTCGGCGTGCTTATACTTCGTCATCTGAAACAGCGAGATTCACTGCTGACACAATTCAATTTAATAAATCGTCGGCTACGCGCAAAACGAGAGAGTGTCAATAACGATTGTGATAAGAAGGATATTAGATTAGCGTCCTAAGTGGCCTATATTAACGCATCTCTTCACATTCGCCGCTCTAAAAACGCGACCGCTCAATTCTGGGAGGAGGATACGTCTTATGATAATATTATTAAAATGGTGGAGCGATTTTTAAGTAAATATTTAAACGACGATAATTGCTATTTGTTTAGCGCGATTCTCAATGACGTCTTTAAGATGATAAAAAAGAGTAATAAATTTCGATAATGTAAATAAGACGTACCTTCACACTCATTTTGAAAATGTTCTGTTTCTCTTTATATTGGTTCAATTACGGCGCGCACTAATAAAAAAGGCATAAATTAACGCTTTCATCTAAATATAGAATGAAAGACGCACTTTTGAGTTGCATGTATTTGTATTTTTTGTGCCGACGCCCTTCATGGCAACAAGCGACGTCAGGCGTCTGATGCGAACATGTAACATTATTGATTACCTACTTCGCAACCAAATCATTTGTATACGCGAAAGCTTTTCGTTCGATAGGGGCACGCTTTAGGTTTTCCGGTTTCTGTATGCAAAGTCGAAGCGAACTGATTATAATTTCTACAATTTGAATCGAAATATTCCCAAGGTGACGCAGTGGCGGCAATTTGTTACAAAAATATTCAATTGCTAAAAGAATCTGCGCTAAACTGCTTGCCTTTGCGATTTTTCGTTTCACTTGGATATTTGTCCTCGATCTTGCGGTGGTACAAAAAAAGCATTACAGCGGGGAGACGTAGCATATGGTAGGTACATGTGCAGCGTAGGAATTTTGTTTTGAGGCGGGGGACGCACATCGGCGTTCCCTCGCGCTGAAGATGGCTTTTTTCTCGTTAACACCAAGAGAAAGATTCTTTCCGACTCTCTGGATCTGGGTTATGAGCCCCTCTTAAGCAGCTCTAGACTTGGGCTTCCATTGCTTTAGGGTTGCGGCCGCATCTGGAATACGCTAATATGCTTAGGACTTTCAGGCGCAGGTCTAAATCCTTCTGGAAACTTGTGCCCATCAACATCAATTTGACGCAAAATTTCAAGGCCTCCTTACATAATTTAAATATACAGTATAACATTCTCTACAAGAAGTTATAATTAAATAAATACAGTACGACACTAGTTCAATTTTATAACGAGGCCATCAACAAATAGTAACGCGACTGCCACGCGATACAACAATATTGTTTATAAATACCTTTAATCTTTATTCACCAGGAGTTCAAGATGTTTTCTGGGCACGGGTTTCAATCAGAATAGAAATGGTCCTCCCTCCATCTGTGCTTTACACGGACCGACTATAGAATCCACGCTGTTATTACCCTTTTTCAGTAGGCGGAGCCATCTAGGTACATTGCCCACCAAAACCTAGCATCATATCCAACTGCCGAGCGTTTTCGGATCAACCCTGGAAGTCGGCAGATTGAGGCCTAGGGCAACTCATCACCCATAGTAGTGTGATACGTGTTATCCGATTTTGTATATATTTTAGTATGCATATATGTTGTTCTTTTACTGACTGTATATATAGTGTAATATATGTTCTTGTAAACCACCACATTATTCTATCTGGTAACAGCTGTGTTAGTTACGGACCAACGAAGTACGCCTGCAGCCCCTGCAGGTGATCAACACGGTTCGTCTAAAATCCATTGCCGTAGCCAGCTGTAGTGTACTTAACCCCCAGGTTCTACGCTAACTTCACACTACAAGAACACGGAAATAAATAAGTCAACCCGGCAAAGTTTAAAAATGGCTACCCGAATGAGTATTCCCTCCAAAACTCAAAAAGATCCCGCTTAAATTTGAAAAGCGGCACGTGATCAAACATCTAAGGCAGGAGCCGCCTACGTTAGTTGTAGACAACGCTTTGATCTGAAGCACAGTAGGGAAGGAACGTAAAATAAAACACTCAAATTGTGAAAAGTTTGTTGAATAATGATCGCAATAATTAAGATTGTGAAAGCTCGAAAATTTAAGTCGAAATAAATTACATTGAAAAAATAAACTTTGAAAATGGTAGTTCACCGAATAAAAATAGAAATAGACTGGGACAAAAAGAACTTACCAATAAAAAAAACCAGCCGTCAAATTAATATCAAATTGTGTAGTAAAATTAATAAGCAGGTACCAAGATTCTAAGAAAGGGTGAAATACACAGGATGTGACTCATCTTTGGTGCAATAAAGTCCTTTTGTTAAAAGAAAGATGGAAAATTACATGGCCTTGTAAGCAAATTTTACTAAAAACAAGATATGTGGAAATTATTGAATCGCCACTCATTTATCGCACATAGATTCTAAACTGAAGAGCTTTGATCAGCGTAATCCCACTCCTGCAAGATAGGTAACCCGCCCCTGGTTTCGGGTTTTCGACACTACAGTTGAATGTCGAAGACAATCACGGAATTAAGTGTCGTAGCTCAATTTTGACTACAGTTTTTACCACCGTCGTGACTCCTTCATTCACGGAGAAAATCTTAGTTACAAACAACAAGTCGCAGTACATACATCAAACAACTCTGTAATTTTCACATATTAAAATAAAATGATCAAAACTTATATGAATGTTACTTCAGGGACAAGACCAAAACATCAATAAACATACATTGAGCAAGCATTACACCCAAATAAACGTAAACCATTACAAACAATAGCATAACGGTATCACATATGTAATTATGCTTTGCGGTTAGGCCAAGTAAATTTCAAAAACAAAGATCAAACACAAAAAAATATAAAATGTGGCATACAAAACCCAAATACGATATAAAAAAATGCAAAATAACAACAAACTTTTATGGAGCGACGCGTTCACGACCGCCATTCAAGACAAGATGCCCAACGTAACCCCCGTCCGTGCTTTTTAGATGGCGCAGGCAGCTTTTTCCCACCTAAAAATTGCATAGTTGCCAACTTTCAAAAATGTATGTATCCTCGCAAGTTGTATATACTGGGTGGAACCTCTCAACGTTAACAACAAATATTTGAAAATTAATGAATCGGAACTCAAATCGCACATAGATTCTTAACCGAAGAGTTTTTGTTAGCAGAATTCTACCCCTGGAATAGGTAACATTGGGCCCTCCTTCAGAATTTTCGAGCCTATAGTAGAGATTCGAGATCAGTCCCAGTATTAGGTGTCTTAACTAATGTGGTTACAGTTATTTACCAACCCTGTGACTGTCTTTTCAAGACGAAAAGTGTTGGATTACAAACAACAAGTCGATACCCATACACACAGCAAATAATTTAATAACTTCCACAAATTTTAAGGCTGGCAATTTGTTGATTCATGATCACGTGTACTTGTGTTCTGTGGTTCAGCATCTCAGGTACGTTAGACACAGCACGAATTGGTCATAGCGACTGCTTCTGCGCGTAAAAATACGTCAGCTGCTTCCACTCAAATTATTAACTTGTATTTTCTTCCATCGTGGTATTCAGCAAAATAGGAACGGTTTCTTTAATAAATCAAATAAATAAATACTTTCGTTTTATTTAGCCTCCCGAAAGCCGGCGCAACCAAATACAAAAAAAAACAAATGAATCCAGCAATCTCGAATTGTTAACGCAGCTGTTACATTTTGTCGCCCCACAGCGAGGCTAAAACAATAATTAACCTCTGGAAATATGAATGGATTTGAAATGAAATGAGACAAAGAAAATAAGGATTTTAATTCATGTACAATACATTTCTGTGTAGAAGTATCACAATTCATCTCCTATTTCCATAACCTTTTATTTCGTGCAAATTACTTTCGTTAAATCCGACCACAATATCACCTTGTATAAGATGCTTATACGACTTTCTCGCGAAACTGACCGACTGATTATTTCTGGCCGCCCAATGGGGATCCTTGCCGAACGCCGCGTATTTGTACCTCAAAACGACGCCACCTTCTACTCTCTCATTCTCGCCGTCTCTCTCATTAGACACACCCACAACCATATTATATTCCTCGATACTTCCCGCGTCCTTACATTCGTTCATGTCATTCTCCACTTCGGCCTGGTACGTTTCGATGGTATTCGAAAGGGTCGCCATGCTTTCGTCGATGCGTTGCGTTTTCGCATCGAAACCGTAATTGTCCAGACCTGCGCTTTTCGATTTTTTATTCGACTTCGAGCGCTTGGTTTCGGCAACCGGTTCCTCTACGACGTTCATGATTAAATCACACTGTATATCCGGGACGCTTACGGGATTGAACGCTGGATTATCTATGCCATCAGCCGCTACCTGTAACAGTTAATGTTTTATGTAAAAGTGCTTGATTTGGATATTACAAATTTGGATAATAAAAACTAAAAATAAAGATACACAAGTGATTCCAAAAAAATTCAAAAATTTAAAAAAAATGTTAAAAAAAGGTGCAAAGGATTCCTGAATTTCTTGTGTTATATTTTTGAAAAGAATAAAACAGAGTGTTCCATTAAAAAAATGAGGTTAGGTTGACCTCGTATACTAATTTTGAAAAAGTAAACATTTAAAAATTCAAAAAATTTAATATCGATTCAAAAAGATTCCAAAAAGGTTTTTAAAATATTTAAATCATTCCATTGACCAAACAATGGTATCTGATGCATGTCTACTAATTGTATCAGGATCAGACAAAAGGCCGCACTCACCTAATTAGGAAAACCCAAAGTATAGACTACCAAAACTTGGAGAAATCGGGAAACCCGTCCAAACCAAATCGTAGATCCACAAAATATAGGTTCAATCGCCAAAATAATTATAATTGGAAATTGCAATTGGAGCTTCATGTGTTTCACCATCACCCTAAACAGTATTTAATGTGCTTGTACTGGAATGCAGGAAACGGAAATTGAAAAGCGGAGAACGCGCCGTGGAAAAATCCACCAATAGGTGACAATAGTTAAAATTTAAGTATGGCAGAGAATCTCAAACAATTAACTACATTGACAGGCAACCAAAAATAATTAATCGACTTGTAAGGGTCCTTGGTTCGGGCACTGATATTTGTAAATGTATAGTGGAGTGTACCTGTAGAAAAATATGTCCTAATATTCGTGAAATATAAAAACTGCATTGCGTTGTGCGTAAGGTAAAATACCCTGTTTCGTGCAATTTTTCGGGTATCGAATTACAAATTTTGACAATTTTTTGGGTATCAAATTACAAACTTTGACGATCATTTGGCCTCATTTGTGTCAGATCTTATTTCATTTTGAAGGTCAATGGTCCCATTTTTTGTGGTGTCATTACAATTTCAAGGTAAACAAAGGTCGCTTACTCAAACCAATTTTTTCAGTATCATTCCATTTTCAAGGAGTTTTGCCGTTTTTTTTTGGGTAATAAATTGCAAACTGTCGTAATTTTTGGAAGAGATAAAGCTCAAAAGGCGCTATTATCCTCTGGTGGGAAATATAGGTCAAATTATTGATCAAAGGTGCCCATCTCCTGGCAAAAATTTCTAATTTAATACCCATAAAATTGCCAAAATTTGTAATTTTATATGCGAAAAATTGTCAACATTTGTAATATAAGCAAAAAATGGTCAGTTTGTAATTTGATACCCAAAAAATTGTCAAAGTTCGTATTTTGATACCCGAAAAATTGTCCAAATTTGTAAGTTGATACCCAAAAAATTGCACGAAATAGGGCATTTTACCTTTAGGGACAATGAATTTATTATGAAACCTAAAGAATGGTCAGTTTGTAATTTGATACCCAAAAGAATGTCAAAGTTTATAATTTGATACCCAAAACATTATCAAAGTTCGTATTTTGATACCCGAAAAATTGTCAGTTTGTAATTTGATACCCAAAAAATTGCACGAAATAGGGCATTTTACCTTTAGGGACAATGCGTTTATTATGGAACCTAAAGAATGGTCAAAGTTTGTAATTTGCGACCCAAAAGATTGTCAAAGTTTGTAATTTGATTCCCAAAAAATTGTCAGTTTGGATTTTGATACCCGAAAAATTGTCAAAATTTGTAATTTGATACCCAAAAATTGCACAAAATAGGGCATTTTACCTTCAGGGACAATGCATTTATTATGGAACCTAAAGAATGGTCAAAGTTTCTAATTTGATACCCAAAAGATTGTCAAAGTTTGTAATTTGATACCCAAAATATTGTCAAAGTTCGTATTTTGATACCCGAAAAATTGTCAAAATTTGTAATTTGATACCCTAAAAATTGCACGAAATAGGGCATTTTACCTTTCGGGACAATGCATTTATTATGGAACCTAAAGAATGGTTAAAGTTTGTAATTTGATACCCAAAATATTGTCACAGTTTATAATTTGATATCCAAAAAATTGTCAAAGTTCGTATTTTGATTCTTGAAAAATTGTCAAAATTTGTAATTTGATACCCAAAAAATTGCACGAAATAGGGCATTTTACCTTTAGGGACAATGCATTTATTATGGAACTTAAAGAATGGGCAATGTTTGTAATTTGATACCCAAAAGATTGTCAGTTGGTAATTTGACACCCAAAAAACTGTCAAAATTTGTAATTTGATACCCAAAAAATTACACGAAATATGGCATTTTACCTTTAGAGACAATGCATTTATTATGGAACCTAAAGAACGGTCAAAGTTTGCAATTTGATACCCAAAATATTGTCACAGTTTATAATTTGATATCCAAAAAATTGTCAAAGTCCGTATTTTGATACCCGAAAAATTGTCAAAATTTGTAATTTTAATTTCATACCCAAAAAATTGCACGAAATAGGGCATTTTACCTTTAGGGACAATGCATTTATTATGGATCCTAAAGAATGGTTAAAGTTTGTAATTTGATACCCAAAAAATTGTCAAAGTTTGTATTTTGATACCCGGAAAATTGTCAAAATTTGTAATTTGATACCCTAAAAATTGCACGAAATAGGGCATTTTACCTTTCGGGACAATGCATTTATTATGGAACCTAAAGAATGGTTAAAGTTTGTAATTTGATACCCAAAATATTGTCACAGTTTATAATTTGATATCCAAAAAATTGTCAAAGTCCGTATTTTGATACCCGAAAAATTGTCAAAATTTGTAATTTTAATTTGATACCCAAAAAATTGCACGAAATAGGGCATTTTACCCTTAGGGACAATGCATTTATTATGGATCCTAAAGAATGGTTAAAGTTTGTAATTTGATACCCAAAAAATTGTCAAAGTTTGTATTTTGATACCCGGAAAATTGTCAAAATTTGTAATTTGATACCCAAAAAATTGCACAAAATAGGGCATTTTAACTTTAGGGACAATGCCTCTATTATGGATCCTAAAGAATGGTTAAAGTTTGTAATTTGATACCCCAAAAATTGTCAAAGTTCGTATTTTGATACCCGAAAAATTGTCAAAATCTAGTCTAGAAAACATTCACTTGAATTAAAGACAGCTGGAAACATCTACTTCTCAATGTCACCTCCAGTGCCAAAGCAGGGGGGGGGGTGAGAGACCTTTGATCGATAGCTTGAACTAATTTTGAAAACCGTGTAAGCAACTTCACATTAACTTAATACCACCAGAAGATAGCTTCACCTTCGTCAACTTCCCAAAGACGTCACCAGGGGGCAAACGACCATTAATCTTCACCTTGGCCAACGTGTTTAGAAGCAGGGTAGAGTGAGCGACTGGACTGAATGAGTGACCTCTGTTTACCTCGAAAATCAGGTACGACACCAAAACACTGTTGGAGTCAATTAAATGTTGTTAACCTTGAAAATGAAATACAAAGAGTAAAGTGCAAAATACACCTCAACATACAAGGCAAATATTGAACCCATTTTCCGGAGTAAACGACCCTAGGGGGAAACAAGTATCATTTTTTGTGTACACCAAAAATTCAAATTAATTTACGTTAATTCAAATTAATTCACGTTAATTAAAATTAATTCAAATTATTCACGTTAATTCACATTAATTTACGTTAATTCAAATTAATTCAAATTATTCACGTTAATTCAAATTAATTTACGTTAATTCAAATTATTCACGTTAATTCAAATTAATTCACGTCAATCCAAGTTAATTCACGTCAATTCAAATTAATTCACGTTAATTTAAATTAATTCACATTAATATACGTTGTCAAATTAATTCACGTTAATTCAAATTAATTCAAAGGGATGTACACCAGTTTCCCCCTAGGAACGTCCGAACTGAGCATTGATCTACCTTTGATCCGACACTCGACCGATGCTGTGTTGACCTACTTTCCGCCCGGCATCTGACGATTTATGGAATCAACTACCTAAACAAGGTTTTTACCCATTTACGGAGATCACCACGTACCACCCGAGAGAGGGGAAATGGACCTTTGAGTTTCACTTTGAGTTATTTTACAAGGTCATCTCCAGGACGCGAGTAGCTTTTAAACCTCACGTTGATCTACAAAAATGGGACATTGAGCACTGAAAACATTAAAAATAAAATATGACACCACAAGAAACGGGGTCATTGTCCTTTGTTGACCTTGAAAATAAAATATGGCAATGACCTTTAAAAAGTACTAGGACGACACGCTGATTGAGTGGATAATGCAACATGACCACAAAAAAAATGGGACCTTTGACCTTGAAAATGAAATATACTTAGACCTTGACCTGGAAGCACCTGTAGAGTGAAATGTGACGCCGCCAAAAATGGGGTCGTTGACTTCGAAAATGAATCCCCTAGTTTCACCTTGACCTACTTTCCAAGGTCAAGGTCATGTGCACGCAAACTGTACCTTATCCTACTTTCCAAGGTCACCGCAAGGGGGCGAGCGAGCTTGAACTGAGCCAGGTGGCTACCGCCTAAAGTTTGTAGGATCAAATTCTACCTTTCTGGGTACAAATTAGTCCAAACTTAATATGCAATTAGGGCTCCTAGGTTTATTATTACCTTATTTTCCGGAGCAACATGTTTCTTTCGTTTCTTCACTTTACAATTGAGATCCACCGGTGCTTGATCCTCATTTTGCTTTCGTTTGCCACCGCCCCCGTCCACAATTTCAACCGAAGGAGCGTCGCCTACTTGCGGGACTCCATTTTTTTTCTTCTTCGTCTTTTTCTTTACGTGTGCGATATCCGTACCAACGACATCGACGTGCAAGGCCGGATTATCAATTCCTCCATCTGTGACGCACTCATTCTTCGTCTTCTTCGGTTTCTTTTTCTTCTCCGAATCGCCCCTCTTACTCTTTTTGCTTTTACGTTTCACCTCGAATTCGTTCGGGCAACCTTTGTCGTCGTCCACAACCGCAGACGTGTCCCTTTCGTTCTCCGTCTCGACGATGGGTTCAAGCGTGTGTTTAACCATGGTGAAACTCTGGCCCATCGGCTCGAATGCGGGGTTCTTAAAACCGAAACCGGGCGAAGCTCCCTCGTCGTCGGATTTGTCGGGTTGAGGCACCCGATGTTTAAAATGGCCACTCGTCGAGATGGCGTTGATTGTTTTCGATTCGGCAGTTTCGCCTTTCTTTTCGAAAATGCTAGCTAGATCCTTCTGCGAGTACCGGCTAATGTCCTTACCACGTGTAAATTTCTTGTAGTGAACTCTCGCGCGAGAGTTCTGCGATTTCTCCTCCAATGAGCCGACCGGCATTGGAGAACTGTTCGGCGGCGTCGTGTCGTTCAAGGTTGCCAATAAGTTATTGAAATGCTCTTGTTGTAGCGAACTTTGCGTTTCTTTTAAGCCCAAACCTGAAATTGGCGAAGGTAAACAAACGGGCAGCGGAGGGAGAGTGAACGTACCTTTGTTGTCATTTTTATACGAAATTTTAATCGGTTCCGTGATGCCGTGCTGCTGCTTTCCCAGACCTTTACCCTCTTTCCAGCCCAAACCTTCTAATATTTTTAAGCCAAACTTGTTGGAATCTAAAATTTGAAACGCATGAGCTGACAGGAGTACAAATAAACTGTCTATTGTGAGAGGGCAGGTTGATTTTTCTTTACCTGATATCCAGTGTTTACCCTGCGGATTTAATGACCATTTTTGTTTGCGTTTTTTCTCAGCCAACATAGACATTACTTGTACGTTCAATGTGTAAAATAAGAGTAAATTTAATGCAAAATTTTAACGTTACCCCATGTAAATGTTAGGTTAAGTTTCCGTAAATGCGCACGAATTTGATGACAGCTTAATTACTGCTTTCCATTTGAGTGCGTGAAGCTCTGGTGCAGTTCGTTCGGAGCAGCTCATTTTGCAAGTTGTTCATTTTTAACACATTTGAATTGACATTCACAGTACGTAAATAACCACAAAAGTGTTACAAGCCCCAAGCAAAAAGGTGGGGCATGAGGGGACAAGGGAAATCCAATTTCGGGCGCGTCAGAGCTCGAAGCTTTCTTAAAAGGAACACAGGGCATCGTGCACGGTACAGCTTAGAGCTCCTCTTTCACTCAAATGGAAAGCGGTAAATGTGTGTTGCATATCTTGCATGTACCGGGTGATCCAAAATGATTGCGGACAGTTTCAATTGCCTGCAAAATACAGCATTTGTAAAGTAAACCAAGCATTGGTGGATCAGTTTAATAGATATAGGCCCCTTTGAAGCCGACTACTTTAATTTCGTTTATCAATACAATGATATTATGTAAATAAACAGTCCTAACCTAAGACTTTTATATAAATGGTTTATGTAATGGAAATTCTCATGAATTTGCTATATTTTATTCGGTGTGAACCTCAAATGACAGTGAATGTAAAAACTGAACCTCTGTTGGTGGGTGGTTCATCTGTTGCGTTTTACGCCGATAGGTGGCGAAAGTGTAGAATATCACCTCAATTTTAAGCATACAAATAATTTTTTTCGCGAATGAGTACATAGTTTTTGAAATATTGTATTTGAAAAAGGCAGGTTTGGTTTAGGTATTAAAGTATTTACATGCAAATCTATAACAAAATAACCGATAAATCGAAGTTCAAAGTTTAAATGAATTTTGTTTATTGAAAGAGCGATAATTTTTACTGTAATACCTTCACAGTTTGAGATCGAAGCGATTAGCATTAAATGAGATTTGTGATTAAAAATTGGAGGTGTGTCAATTACGGGAACTAAAAAGTATCATTTTAGTGTAGCCATGATTACAGAGATGTCGCTTTAAACAGAAAAGAAATTCGGATTTGCAATTGACCCATAGAACAACAAACTTAGAATGGAAACTGTAGTGTAATGTAAAAATGACGCGCCATCTCGTGTATGTTCTCAGCAGCTTTTGCGTGAATGGCGCCAAATTTAAATATTAAATGTAAGCTACGTCCGCATTATAGTGAATTTCTCCGGATCTGTAACAATAACATTGGATTTGACTAGCTGAAACCTAAAAGGTAAATGAATCCAGCCAGTGAAGTCCAATTTTATTTGTTAGGGTTCCAAATAAATTCAGTTTAATGCGGATGCACCTCACCAGTCAGGGCCTTCAAAGAGTACAGGGCACTTGTTTTATAAGTAACAACTCCAATTAATCCAATCAAGGAGTTATATTTAATTTAATACGATTATATAAGATACAAGATCAACTTCATGGAACTCTACTGTATGATGCTCTCCAGATCGTTCTAAAAATAAAATATGTGGCAATTTATTACAATTCAATTAGTGTTACCTGCTAATATAATGTGCGAACTGCCACACGCTTTAAATCTCTTCGTGTTCCAGGTTCTAAACCGCATCCAGAAAAATGACGTTCACAAACCAAAAACTTTTGTGTAAATTTCTTCCACATTATATTCTAAACCAATTCTTAAAAACTTCGGGCTCCATTTTTTGGAAACGTCTTCACAATTTGTCACACAACATGTACGTTCTCGACTTGTGTATGCAGAATTCATTGTAATAATGAATAGTAATTATACTTAAAGCACAATAAGCCGTCAATCGAAATTCAAAATTCAACTGTCATAATGGCGAACACGCACTAAAGTTACTAGATTTAGTAACTTTAACACGCACGCTAACTATGCGCCCTCTATTGAATGTTCTCCAAACTAATTATGTTTGTACTCAGTTGTTCCCGTTTACGTTTCCCTTCTAAGTTTTTTGTTCTGGGCAATTGACCGGCTGCCCGCATATCGGTGGCGGTTTTGAGTATATAATATATGATTTTGAGTGAAAATTTTGAGTCAACGTGTGTGGTTTCTACAGAAGCATTTTCAGGAAAGTAAGTAGACATTTATTAATGATAAACAGAAGTAGTGCGAACACTATTAATTTACACCTTATGCCAGTGCGCGCCTCTTCCGGTAATTTTATAAAGCAAAAGTAATATTGTATGTGTATCACCTCCATTTGCGGCGCGCTTATCTTATAGCTACCTACTATTGATTATACACACACAGCACATCCAAAGAGTTTATGTGTAATAATCGTGATTATGCTACAAACTTTAAGGGTAGATTGAAATCGCACGTCTTAACACACAATAGTTCTAAAGCTTTTAAATGTGACCGTTGTGATTATGTCACAGAAGTCAGGTGGCTTTTGAAACGACATATTTTAAAACACAAAATTTTAAAAGATTTTAAATGTGACTATGCTACAAACTATCAAAGCGCTTTGACACGACATGTTTTAAAACACAAAAGCTCTCGGAATGTAGTAAACCGAGTAGCCGCGGCCTAGTCTTTAGTAAATTCCGAGGTAAATTTCAAAAGAGGTATCAAATGACAAATTTTGACAATTTTCCGTGTATCTAATTACAAACTTTGACAATCTTTTGGGTATCAAGTTACAAACTGTCACCTTATTATTATTTATATTTCGTGCAATTTTCGGGTATCAAATCACAAACTTAGACCATTTTTTAGGTACCATAAAAAGTGCATTGTCTCTAAAGGTAAAATACTTTATTTCGTGCAATTTTTCGGGTATCACATGACAAATTTTGACAATTTTTCGGGTATAAAATTACAAACTTTCACAATCTTTTGTGTATCAAATTACAAACTTTGACCATTCTTTAGGTTCCCTAATAAGTTCATTGTTACTAAAGGTAAAATACCTTATTTCGTGTAATTTTCCGTGAATCACATTACAAATTTTGGCTATTTTTCGGGTATCAAATTACAAACTTTCACAATGTTTTGCGTATCTAATTACAAACTTTGACAATCTGTTGAGTATCAAGTTACAAACTGTCACTTTATTTATTTATATTTCGTCCAATTTTTCGGGTATCAAATTATAAATTTTGGCAATTTTTGGGTATCAAATTACAAACTTTGAAAATCTTTTGAGTAGCAAATCACAAACTTTGACTATTTTTTATGTTCCATAATAAGTCATTGTTCCTAAAGGAAAATACTTTATTTCGTGCAGTTTTTCGGGTATCAAATTACAAATTTTGACTATTTTTCGCGTACAAATTACAAATTTCGGCAATTTTTTGGGTATCAAATTACAAACTTTGACAATCTTTTGGGTATAAATCACAAACTTTGACCATTTATTAGGTTCTATAATGGATGAATTGTCCCGAAAGAATAATTCTTTATTTCGTGCAATTTTTGGGGTACCGAATTACAAATTTTGACAATTTTTTGCGTATAAAATTACAAAGTTTGATCATTTTTCGGCTATCAAATTACAAGCTTTTACAATTTGTTGAGTATCAAATCACTAACTTTGACTTTGTCCCTAAAGGAAAATACTTTATTTCGTGCAATTTTCGGGTATCACATTACAAATTTTGACCATTTTTCGCGTATAAAATTATAAACTTTGGCCATCTTTTGGGTATCAAATCACAAACTTTGACCATTTTTTTAGGTTCTATAATAGGTGCATTGTCCCGAAAGAAAAATATTTTATTTCGTGCAATTTTTGGGGTACCAAATTACAAATGTTGACAATTTTTTGGGTATAAAAATACAAATTTTGGCCATTTTTCGGGTATCAAATTACAAACTTGATTATTTTTTATGTTCCATAATAAGTATATTGTCCCTAAAGCAAAATACTTTATTTCGTGCAATTTTTCGGGTATCAAATTACAAATTTTGACAATTTTTGGGTATCAAATTACAAACTTTGACCATTTTTTAGATTCCATAATAAGTACCTTGTCCCTATAAAGGAAAATACATTATTTCGTGCAATTTTTCGGGTATCAAGTTAACACATTTTGACAATTTTTTGCGTATAAAATTACAAATTTTGGCAATGTTTCGAAGGTTCTTAAATGTGACGTTTGTGATTACGCAACAAAAACAAAAAAGCACGTATAAACCACATTTTTTAACACACAATAAATGATTCAAAGGATTTCAAGTGTGATAGTTGTGACTATGCAACACATGTTTTATTATTATTCATATGATTTAGTCACCACGATATAATGTATATCGCATATTGGTGTAGTGGTAGAATAGCCGGATGGCAACCATCTAGAGGGCTCGCGTGTTCGTTAGGTTTAAGATTTTCTTTTTAAATTTGTTTGAAAAGCTAACATAAAATAAATGATGAAAAATAAATTGGGACTCAAACATTTTTTTATTTTCTAAGGGCTATCGATTTCGACTAGAATGTCATCTTCAGGCCGAGCTGAAAAACTTTACATGAAAACGTGTATAAATCAAATATCTAGTTACCGTTTAACTTATAAATTGTGCATAGTATGGTGAGAAAATTGCGGAGACAAAAACATGTTTTGAAATTTGAATTTGGAAAAAAAATAAAAATTTTTTTGAGTCAATTATTTTTCAAAAAAAAAATTTTTTTTGTCAATTATTTTTCATAAAAAAAAAATTTTTGAGTCAATTATTTTTCATCATTTATTAAATAGTCACTCAAACAAAAATGGAGTCAACAAACATATTATATAAATGCTTCTGACATTCGCAGTGACGCAGTGTATGGAAAGACGTGGAGGTTTTAGACAAACGTAATGAGCATTGTGGTTGTTCTACCAGCTGTATTTTAATCACGTGGTGCACGTAAACATTTGCCTTAAAAATTTTAGGTTATCCGAGCAAGCACCTACATACACCAAGTGGTTTACTTTTATATATTTTTGAATGCTAATGCAGTAAGCCATTATATTGGTGTAGGTAAATATTGGGTTTGCGGTTAAAGGATTTAAAAATGTGACGCACACGGATCTTAGATGCGCAAATTGTAGTTACGCAACAGAAGATAAGAGGAATTTGAGGCATCATGTTCTGAATTCAGATGTTTTTAAATGTGAGATTTGTAATTATGTAACACGTAGTAAGGGCAGTTTAAAACACAACGATTCAAAAGATTTTAAATGTGATATTTGTGATTATGCAACAAATTTTAAAGGTCATTTGAAGCAACATTTCTTAAAACATGGTTCAAAAAAGTTTAAATGCTATATTTGTAATTATGCAGCTAGTAGGAAGCACAGTTTGAAGGAACATGTCTTAAAACACAATAATTCAAACACTTTTAAATGTGATACTTGTAATTATGCAACTAATAAGGAGCATAGTTTGAAGCAACATTTTTTAAAACACAATCATTTTAAATGTGATATTTGTGACTACACCACAAATACTAAGAAAAATTTAAAGGTTCATTTGCAAAAACACAATGTTTCATACGGGTTAAAATGTGACGTTTGCGATTACACTACAACCATTAAACGCACTTTTGAAGCACATCTTTTGACACAAGGATTTGAAAGATTTCAAATGCGATATTTGTGATTATGGAACAAATACTAAAAATAATTTGAGGAGACATGAATTAAAACATGATGTTTCGAAAGGTTTTAAATGTGGTATTTGCAACTATACAACAAGTAGGAAGGATTCTTTGAAGCAACATTCCGTAATACACAATGTTTCAAAAGGTTTTAAATGTGGTATTTGCAACTTTACAACAAATAGGAAGGATTCTTTGAAGCAACATTCCTTAAAACACAATGTTTCAAAAGATTTTAAATGTGATGTTTGTGATTATGGAACAAATACTATAAAAGGAATTTGATGAGACATGTTTTAAAACACGATGTTTCAAAAGGTTTTAAATGCGATATATGTAAATATGCAACAAATAGGAAGGACAGTTTGAAGCAACATTTTTTAAGACACAATGTCTTAATTCTAATATGACATTTGCGATTTATTATAATTAATTATAAAAATCTTTGCAGCTCTGTTTTAATCATTTGTTAATTATCAAAACCTTAGTTTAATAAAAATGTAATAAATATAAAAATTTTTTATTTTGTATATATAGCTATAGGTGACGTGAAATTTGTGACCAAGGTGATTTCATTAAACCAGCCTACAACCTGGAGGGTAGGCAACGCGCATACGAAGTAGTTTTGGAGAGCGCTGTAGGTCGGAATGCAGCCACAGTTATGAAGTCACGTGGAAGATGTGGTTGTTGTTCCGGTGAAAACAAAAGGCAGCTTTTTGATTAATTTGCTGCTGTACCTACACCAAATTTATGAGGTAAATCTTGTAAGGATTTCAAAATAAAGTGTTATTTTATTTTTTAGATAGTCATGGATGACAACATCGCATTTGTTAAAATTGAACCAAAACAAGAAGAAGAAATAAATTTGCCCCTCCAAAGAAACATTTTTGTAAGCAATGATTATTTCAAAACTACAAAAGCAGAAACCTCGAAGGCAGAATATTGTTGGCAAGAAAACAATGGGGAGGAAATGGAGCAGTCAAGTATTAAGTCTGAAACTATAAAGTTTAAATGTACGTTTTGTGACTCCACAACAGATAATGAACCACATTATGAAATGCACCTCCAGACGCACAAGAATACTAAGGTTTTTAAATGTGCAAATTGTGATTATTCAACAAGTGGTAAAAGGAATTTGAGGCATCACGTTGTAAATAATCATTCAAAAGTTTTTAAATGTGACGTGTGTAATTATACCACAAATGTTAAAGGTCGTTTCAAGGTTCATCTGCTAAGGCACAATGATTCAAAGAATCTCAAATGTGACGTTTGTGATTATGCAACAAATAGTAAGATCAATTTTAAGAGACATTTTTTAACACACAGTGATTCGAAGGATTTCAAATGTGATGTTTGTGATTATGCAACAAATAGGAAGGACAGTTTGAAGCAACATTCCTTGAAACACAATGATACGAGAGATTTTAATTGTGAAAGTTGTGGCTATGCAACAAATATGAAGATTAATTTGAGGGCTCATGTTCTAAAACACAATGTTTCAAAAGATTTTAAATGTGATATTTGTGATTATGCAACAAATACTAGGAATAATTTGAGGCGTCATGTTCTAACACACAATGTTACAAAAGGTTTCAAATGTGAATGTTGTGACTATGCCACAAACATTAAGGAGAATTTGAGGAGACATGTTCTAAAACACAATGCAAGATACAATGTTACGAAAGGTTTTAAATGTGATGTTTGTGACTATGCCACATATACCAAGAAGAATTTGAGAAGTCATGTTCTAAAACACAATGTTACAAAAACATTTAAATGTGATATTTGTGATTATCTAACAAATACGAAGAATAATTTGAGGAGTCATGTTCTAAAACACAACGTTTCAAAAGGTTTTAAATGTGATATATGTGACTATGCCACAAATACTAAGAAGAATTTGAAGATTCATTTGCGAAAACACAACGCTTCAAATGGTTTTAAATGTGACCTTTGTGATTACGCAACAAACATTAAAAGCAATTATAAGACACATTTCTTAACACACAATGATTCGAAGGATTTCAAGTGCGATAGTTGTGACTATGCAACACATACTGAGATGAATTTGAGGCATCATTTGCGAACCCACCATGTTTCGAAGGGTTTTAAATGTGAGATTTGCGATTACTCAACAAATATTAAAAGCACTTATAAGGCACACCTCTTAACACACAATGATTCAAAAGATTTCAAGTGTGCCAGTTGTGACTATGCAACAAATACTAAGAAGAATTTGAACCATCATTTACAAACGCACAATGTTTCGACGGTATTTAAATGTGACGTTTGTTATTATGCAACAAATATTAAAAGCACTTTTAAGGTACATCTCTTAAAACACAATGATACAAAAGATTTTAAATGTGATATTTGCGATTACCTAACTAATATGAAGAAGAATTTGAAGAGTCATGTTCTAAAACACAATGTTTCAAAAGGTTTTAAATGTGATATATGTGACTATGCAACAAATACTATGAAGAATTTGAAGAATCATTTGCAAAATCACAATGTTTCGAAAGGTTTTAAATGTGACCTTTGTGATTACTCAACAAACATTAAAAGCTCTTATAAGGCACATTTCTTGACACACAATGATTCGGAAGATTTAAAATGTGATATTTGTGATTATACAACAAATAGGAGGAACAGTTTGAAGCAACATTTCTTAAAGCACAATGATTCAAAAGCTTTTAAATGTGACCTTTGCGATTATGCAACAAATACTAAGAAGAATTTGAGGGCTCATGTTCTAAAACACAATCTTTCAAAAGGTTTTAAATGTGATATTTGTAGCTATGCAACAAATAGGAAGGATATTTTGAAGCAACATTTCTCAATACACAAAGATTCGAAAGATTTCAAATGTGATATTTGTGATTATGCAACAAATAGGAAGAGCCGTTTGAAGCAACATTTCTTAACGCACAATGTATCTTAACTTTAAATGTGACCTGATTGCTAAATTGCATTTCCATTTCTAATTGGTAGGTAATGCCATTGAAATTATAACTATTATAAATTCAATGGTAATGCTCTTACTGAGGTAGTGAAAACAGAATTTAGTAGTATAATGTGTTGGTTTATATAATTGAATTCTTTATTTTTTATCTTTGTGTAACATTTAACGTTTCTTTTAGAGTTTACATTAATTTAAAAAATTTTAGATATCGATTGATTAAGTAGTCATTACAATCCCTTTTATAAATTATGTAATTTGAATCACTGCAAGCCTCTGTAATTCTTCATTTGTGATTCTTCATTTGTGAATATGTTAATTCCCAAAATCTTCATAAACATATAATAAATATAGATCATTTTTGTTATGCATACATATAGTGATATTTATTAAGAAGTAGAAATAATAATAAGATTTCTCCTCACACTAATTACTTGCAAATTACCGCAAAGCACAGCCACAGCACACCAGAAATGGAGAGAAAGCACTCCAAAGAAATATGGTAATAGCCAAAACAAGTAAAAAGTAATGGTGTATCAAGAAAAATTTGCACGCAACCAACACGAAGGCCGGATCGTCTTTGAATGGATGGAAGAAGTGCAGAGAATATGCAAAAAAAAATTACGACCTCTAGCGGCGAACTAAAGAACTAAGGTAATAACAAATCTATTATAAAAATAACTGACTTCTAAACTAAAGGGGTTTACAAAGGAAATACCTAGATGGCGTGAGAATACTAAATTTAAATTAGAGCGTTGTGTGAGCAATATAAAGAGGCGCAACTCGATTAATTAGATGATTAGGTGTTTCAGTACCTCGGTGATTTCGTTAAGAGTAGCGGATTTCCGCCGTTGTCGTAGCGGTTGCGTTGTTAAGCGACGTTTAAGCATCAGAGTCGCGCACTCACCGATTTGCTTTGTTGAAGACGCAGTAGGTATTTTTTATAGTAAATCGCTGCAGAAGCAAGTTCATCAAAGTTGTGTGAGAAGTTTAACGCGTGTTGTCCCATTACGGAAAAAATTTTGTTGAGTTGAAAAAGGAAGCAGTGTAGCGCAGCGAGGCCTTTTGTTAAGGTTCTCTTCTTATTCAAAGTTAAATGTTTCTACCTCCCGAACGACCACCGAAAATTGGTTTATCTTACTCATCAAACCGTTATTCGTTTAATTTTGTGTTATAAAGCAAAGTGAAGTTCAGAACCTGTCAGCGTTTCTGTGTGAGTTAAATGTGGCCAGATTATTTGGATTGTTAAGAAAAACACTGCAGTAATTTAAAGATTTCTTATTGTATTCGTCGCCCGTCTGCGTGCGGGGTAAAATGTCCAAACAAGCTTTATAAGCTTTTCTTGTTGTTTCGTTGTGTTTTGGAATAAATGTTTGTCAATTCGAATCCATTGTGCCACCCGGATAGAGTTTTTCGTGTCAGATTTTTCTTTTCGAGGCCACCAAGTTCCTCAAATTGAAATTGAAAAATGTTAAGATTTTCTTCTACAGATGCCGCATGTGTACGATGAGTTTCAATTTTGATTTGTCCGCCGAGCCGTTATCTCGGAAAATTGCCAACGTCGTATACGCAGACGGAAAAAATGTTATTCTTTAAAAGTTGCTTAAAAGGATCTAAAATGTCGACATTTGATGAAATTTTGACATGTCCAAAAAATGGTGATCGCAATAGCCACTTAGTTCAAGCTAGTTGAAGCTAAAAATATCAGTAAGAGCGTTCATTTGAAAAAGTTGAAATACTCATTAACGTGATGAGCACAAAATTCTAAATTAGCAGCACAAATTAGCGCAAAATGACGTCAGTGAAGTTAGCCTCGCCCCATAAAAAAATCCAAAAACTCAGGGATGATATTGTTTGTTTTTTTGTTATTTATTGATTACTTTGACAACAAAATCGTTTGTTTCGCAATAGAATAGCTATTACAACATTTGTAAAATGGGCGAGGCTAACTTCACATTGCCCGACCCACATTTGATGTGAGTTTGAGAGGTTCCACCCTGTATATACAACTTACGGCGATGCAGACATTTTTGAGAGTTGGCAACCACGCAAATTTTAGGAGGGGAAAGCGTTTTACGCTATCTGGAGAGCACGAACGGGGGTTGGCATCTTGTTTTGAATGGCGGTCGTGAACGCGTCGCTCCATAAATGTTTGTTGTTATTTTGTGTAATGCAGGTAGTAATTTTTGCATTTCTTTATATCGTATTTGTGTTTTGTATGCCACATTTTATACTTTTTGTTGTTTGAATCTTTGTTTTTGAAATTTACTTGGTTTAACCGCAATGCATAGTTACATATGTGATACCGTTATGCTATTGTTTGTAATTGTTTACGTTTTTGGTGTAATGCTTGCTTAATTTATGTTTATTGATGTTGATTACTTGGTCTTGTCCCTGAAGTAATATTCATATAAGTTTTGATCATTTCATTTTAATATGTGGAAATTACCGATTCGTTTGATGTATGTACTGACTTGTTGCTTGTAACTAACCTTTTTGTCCGTGAATGAAGCATACACGGGAGTGGTAAAACGGTAGTCAAAATTGAGCTACGACACCTAATTCCGTGATTGTCTTCGACATTCAACTGTAGGCTCGAAACCCCGAAACCAGGGACGGGTTACCTATCTTGCAGGAGTGGGATTACGCTAATCAAAGCTCTTCAGTTTAGAATATATGTGCGATAACTGAGTTACGATTCGTAATTTTCTCATATCTTGTTTTTAGTTAAATTTGCCTACAAGGCAATGTAATTTCGTATCTTGCTTTTAACAAAAGAGCTTTATTGCGACAAAGATGAGTCACATCCTGCGTATTTCACCCTTTCTTAGAATCTTGGTACCTGCTTACCTGACCCATAATTCCCAAAACTTGTTTTCAACTTCTTACCTTTTGAAGTTGAAGTTTACCCGCTACTTTTTGTGTTGTTATAATTTTATGTTACACATTCACATCATTACAAACAATTAATTTTACTACACAATTTAATATTAATTTGACGGCTGGTTTTTAGCGCATTTCTACAAAAAAATGTGTTATTGTGACCACTTTATCCGTCCGTCCGTTCGTCCGTCCGTCCGCTCGTTCGTTGAGACGCTATTGTTCTACTTTTTTCGCTATTTGGTTCGTTATGGTGTCGAGGTTTGCACCAAGGAAGGAATTTTTTCTGCGTTTATTGCTAAAAAAGTTGTAAAAAAAACCAAAAAACCGTTTTTTACATGTTCCATAATTTTACACTTTTGCCTTTTATTAACAATCCTAGAGATCGTTTATAATTTTGTATTGCTGTCTGTCGTCTGTCTGTTGGTCTGTTCCTTTGTCTGTCTGTCCCTCTATCTGTCCGTGTGAACGATAACTTTGTTTAGAAATGTCCGATCGCTTTTACATCTCCGTTAGTTATCAACTGAATTGCATGAAATTCAATATGGGCATAGCTTTAGCCATATAATACGCAATGCCAAAAATTGAGTCGAATCGATTCAAAATTCACAGTGCCCTTTTCGCATCTCGACCATTATAAACCAAATTGCAAACTTTTTATTTATAAAAGTATTTGAATGAAATTTGATACATAGGCGCTTGGAACAAAGGAAAATCTAACGTTAGTTTCAAAATTTAGATTTGCGCATGCGCAGTTTCAACTTTCTTATTTAGAAAAGCATTGAAATGAAATTCTTCTTATAAACAGAAATTAAAGTAGGACGTCAAACATGGATTGCACATGTGCAACACTATTTTTCATATTTGTGGCCGGATAATTACGATTTTAACAGAAGTTGTATCTTACAAATGGGAAATGAATGCAAGTAGAAATGCGCTTTTTGTAAATCGTTTACGATTACTTTTTAACTTGTTTTATTGGTAAGTTCTTTATTTCCAGCCTATTTCTATTTTTATTCGGCGAACTACAATTTTCAAAGTTTATTTTTGCAATGTAATTTACTTGAACTTAAATTTTCGAGCTTTCACAATCTTAATAAGAGCAATAACTATTAAACAAACTTTTCAAATTTTGAGTGTTTTATTTTACGTTCCTTCCCTACTGTGCTTCAGGTCAAAGCGTTATCTACAACTAACGTAAGGGGGCTCTGCCTTAGATGTTTGATCACGTGCCACTTTTCAAATTTAAGCGGGATCTTGTTTAGTTTTGGAGGGAATCTTCATTCGGGTGGCTATTTTTAAACGTTGCCGGGTTGACTTTATTTCCGTGTACTTGTAGTGTGAAGTTAACTGATTTTGAAACTCGGGATCCTGTTGAATCATATTTATTGTACCAATTGCTAAAGACAATTCGTGAAGCATGGTCCCCTGGATGCAGTGTCTGTCCTACTGAGAAGTGATAAGTGTGAAATTTATGTTCCTTCAAAATTCTCATGACTGTGCTTTGCGACCCATCAACTTTAGCTGCAATTTGTCGGGTCGAAGTAGAAGGATTCTGGTCAACGTAGGCCATATATAGGTACATTTATTTGGATATCCTCGTTAATAACGCGTTCAGCCCTCTTTGTTTTCGAAAAGGAACCAAACTGGCGCAAATTTCGGTATAAATTATTGTTGAACGTCGGTTGACGGCGATTTTCATAAAATTGTCGGTACCGTTCGGCACCACGAACACTCTTTCTATTACACACAATAAAACATTCGGTTTTTCGCGATTAGAAAACATCTTTAATTTAAATTGTATTTACAGAACTGTCATCTTTCAACTAAAACAATAAACAGCAGTATTTTGTTTGTTTATTGTTTTCCATGGCATGATGCGATTTACTTTTAATAGTGTATTGAATAAGATTACCTATTAATTTAACTTTCATAGTTACTTTTCGATGGCATTTAAATATGTTAAATGTGCCACAGTTACACTATTGCCTATGTCATTAGATATTGTTTTCCATGGCAAACTATGTTTATTTACCTCTCAATAATATGAAAATTCCTGCAGCGCGTTTATTTAATAAAATACAATAAACAAGCCTTATATCGCTATAAAGAGAAAAATTTGTGCTTTTTAAAAATGTCAAAGCCAACTATGACAATAAATAAATAAATGAATATATCACTTAAAAAATTAAAGTTTGTATTATGACTTAAAATCTGTAAAATCGAGAAGGAAATTATAATGTTCATCATGTTAACCATTATTTTAATGCTAAAACTTTTGTTCGTGTCATTTTGTTGTATTTATAATAATAATTCTTTTAAAAAGAAAAATCACTAAATCCTTTTTTCGCTCATATCTAGTAAACTGTGGATTTTTTTCAAAAAACAAAATCATATCTTGAATAAGCTCTTAAAACGACAACTCTTTCCTCATTTAAGCGAATCTGTATATGTCCTACAGTTTCGGAGATCCCAATGCTCAAAACGAAAACCAAGTTTAAACAGTCATTATATGCAAACATAAATGACGAGAGCGTATTTTCCTCCTAATAATATTAATGCTAGGACCAGGAAAAATCACCGGTAGGCACGAGATTCTTACCCCATTCTCTTTCAAATGAGCCACCTATCGTCGAAGCCTATACAGTTTAATGAAAAATAGTGGAGTGTATACAAATACATACAAATTTTGAAATGGGCATTAGTTTTACTTTTATTCGAAGTGTGTACATATGAAACTTTTTAAATGCTTTGATAAATAGCATTGCGCATTATGTACATTAGAAATTTTATTGAATACCTTCATAAATAAAACATACAGCATGCGTTAACAGTAATTTTGAAACCGGTAATTAGTTTTAGTTTCATTCAAGGTGTCTACATATGATATTTCGCTTTCATAAATAAGAAAGTTGGCATTGCGCATGCGCAAAACAACATTTTGAAAACATCGATAATTTTACTTATTATATCCGTAGTGTTTACATATAAAATTTCATTTAAATATCTTCATAAATAAAAAAGTCTGCATTGCACATGCGTTAATCCAAATTTTTGACACTGCGCATGCGCAAAGCAAAAAATATCGGTATGCATGGAATCCTTGGACCATTCCCTTTCAAATGAACTCTATGTTGCCCAAATCGGTACAGTGGTGCTGGTGTGTGTGACGAAGCGACGGACGACAAAGTGCAGCCAATAGCGATTTTTCACTTTCAGGAAAATACGCAAAAAAGACCATTTCAGGAAAAATTTAATGCAAAACTCGTCAGTAAAGCGACACTACTTGCCTCAGAAGTTAAAGTACTCGGTCCCGAGGAGGGACTCGCCAGTAATGTGTCATTTTTCTGATTTTTATATATAGGTAAATAACTATTACATTATTTTAAACAATGCTATTACCTAGTGTGAACTGAATTTCACGAAATAAACTCTGATTATAGCAAAACATGAAATATCTAAAGACCTAAAGCCACAGAATGTTTTCTACTCAACGTTGAAGAATCGAATGTGGTTTGGACATTTTAAAGTAAGTATTGCCAATTTTGCAAGTTTTTTTTAATCCCTATCGCTTTACGAAACAAACTTTTTTTGTCAAAACAATCAATACCTAACGATTCTGCACCGTTCATTTATTTATTTATTTATTTATTTATTTATTTATTTATTTATTTATTTATTTATTTATTTATTTATTTATTGCCCTCTCTTCTCCTGGGCCCTCAACAAGCTTTCGCCCGGTTACAGAGTGACCCGCATAATGCTTTTTAGAGGTGCCCCTGCAGAAGGTCTTAACTTGTTCTAGACTACTCCGTTATTTTCCTTACTAATTAGGAAAACTGCAGGAAAACCTAATTCGAAGTAGCCGGAAGAATGCTCGAAACTGATCTAAGGAAATTCCCATCTCTGCCACAGATGAAAAATTCACCTCAAACCAGGTTCGAACACCCGACCTCCGGATTTATAACCCAACGCTCTACCAAACAAAGACTGATTGTAACAAAACAAACAATGACTAAAATCCCGAAATGCAAGAATGTTATTCAACTTTGAAAAATCAAATGTGGGTCGGGCAATGTGAAGTTAGCCTCGCCCATTTTACAAATTTTGTAATGGCTATTGTATTGCGAAACAAACGATTTTGTTGTCAAAGCAATCAATAAATAACAAAAAAACAAACAATAACATCCCTGAGTTTCTGGATGTTTTTATTGGGCGAGGCTAACTTCACTGGCATCAAAATGAGCACAAAATCCCAGTCCAATTTCACGGACCCCGATTAATCTACGATATCCAACCCCGCATCAAATGTTTCTTTTATAAGACTAAAGAGACAGACCCATTAATTTCAGAATCTGCGCCAAATCTTGCAGTTTTGCAAATGCGGTAACGTTTTATTTTAATGAAAACGCCATGTTTTTTTTGTTCACCAATGAATTCTAAATACCTACACTGAAAAATAACAAAAAATCAACGGTTTAATTATAGAAAAGGGAGCGACTATGGTAGTACCTATTTTTAATTATTAGTTGGCGTTGTTTTAACAAAATTATCAAAAAACAAAAGCTATTCTGACACAAAGAAATGCTGCGGATTATCACAGTCAATACACAGGGCGTTTCAGTAAAAAAGAAATGTTGCTCTATTGAATTGATAATCCGATGTGCAATTGTTTTTCTGATTCGATGACCTAAAAGTAGGACTTCGTAATATTTTGACATTTTGAACATCTATACCTAAGGCTTTGAAACCTCCAACTTGGAAACCTGAAATCTCGGAAAAATACGCTGCTGATGTGAAAACATGAAGTTTTGAAAGGCGTTATAGTTATACCACCATTTTGTAGGTATGTAAGTACCTATGGATAATAAGATAATAAGTCATAAAAGTCAAAATTTTGGAGGGAGTTGTAACGCCCAAACCCTCTTCCCATGAGTGCCTCCTGATATTATAAACATCTGATGTAGGTAATTATTTTCATTGTTTTGTTGCCTCGAATAGATTTTGTTTTGTTTTTTTTAATTCATCACAGACTACTTGATTCATATATACATACCGTTGATATAACCGGTATCTTATATGTTATGATAGCTCGTTGAAAAGAGAATTAAAAAATCTATCAATTAATCTAAAAATCCAATATGGCACCTTTAGGAAGTTGGTAAATGTTCCACAAAGGTAGCCATCTTGCAGAATTTTTTTGACATCAATTCTAAATTGAGCGTATCAAAGACAGTAACTTTTTTTTATATCTCTTATACTTTCAAAGATATAAAACACTCAAGGAAATGACCAATTTTAGTTTTTTTGAATTTGCGTCAAACCAATTCGACATTTTGAATTTCCACAAGGAAATTTTAAATAAGCATCTAAAACTGCAAAACATTGCCCATATTTAACCAATTGCCTATGTTTAATAATAACAAAGTTACCCATGCAATTCCACGCGATCTGGGACACACTGTATATGCGGCTTATTTAATGATGATGCGCTTCCAAAATTGAATAATAACCAACATTTCGACTGATTGGTTGTTTTGATTTTTCTCGCACTTGGATTGGAAAAGGATCAAGTAGGTAAAAACAAGCGAACTGAACAATCGGATTAGGAAATAATGACAAGTGAGCAAAAATTGTTTTAATAAGCAAAAGTCACCCCTTCGAGCTGACAGCTGCTACTCGTCAATTTAGAATTTATTAAATCTGTATCACCCTTATTGTTATGATACACTTGTTCATATTTAGGTAATTCTTAATCACGGGAGGGAACATCCCCTAATAAATTAAGTGTAACAGCCCCAACCAAAACAAATCAGCGTTATTAAGCTTTCCTCGTATTTTTGTTTATGAGAAACGTTTCACTTATTCCCTCTAACGCGGCATGTGATTACGGTCTCGGGGTTCTTTCGAATTCGTAATTTTTCCCAAAATCGATACGGTCTCCGCTAAATCGCCGAAAAGGGGTTCGCACTTTCGCAACATGTGGCTACGGTTTCATTGGCTAACTCGCGGAATGCTTCGAGACACGGGCCAATGAGAGGATACCCTCACAAAGGCATGGTCCTTATTGCCGTGTAATTTAGGCGGAAGGGCGTAATCGCGTTCTCCACCCTTTGCCCGCACAGAGTGAGGACCAAAAAATTAGTACCTACAACTAATCCATAGCCATAGCAAAAGTCGGGTTTGTGCAATAAAGTGTAGCTATACGCTTGTGCTTTTTTAAGTGTTCACTGTTTAGGCAAACAAAGGCAGTTCAATGAAAATGTCCTTTCAAAATGATCACGGCCCTTGGGAGGCCAATAATGTAAGTAAATTTCACCTACAAACTGTTGGTGTTTTCCTATTTTTCCAGCAAAATATTGCATTCGAGGTGTGATAGTGCAAAATTATAACATTATTCAATTATAAACAAATTTGCGGATTGGTGAACTTAATATTTTTTTATTTTTGTTGTTTGCAAATAAAAAGAAGTTACACGGTAATAAACCAGGCGAGTACAATGGGGACAGTTGCATTCGTCAAAAAAATCGAAGGTCTAAAAGGCGCTGAGCGAGAGCTGGCGAATAAATCGCTTATTTCGATTGGTTCTTTTTTGATCGATGATTTAAGTAGATTTAAAAGCACCTCCAATCCTTTCCCATTTGTGAAGAATAGCAAAGTACATAAAATGGATTAATTAGTCGGACCTCCTTCAGTCCGGAATGTATCTAAAGGCCCTGAATAAGGGAACCTTCGACTAAAGTTGTATTGTTATCACTTCTGCAGCTACCTATGCAACGGCGAAAAGGTTAATTACACTCAAAAAAGGCAGATACGTACAGGGTGTCCCATTAATAATGGTAAGGGGCCAAGAGAAATCGCTTTCAAGTTTCTAGCTTCGCCGCTAGAGGGCGGTTAAGTAGAAAAATGACTAAACTAAAATATACCCAAAAAACATGCATAAAAAATATATGCATAGCAATATTGTATTATTTTGATGCAGCGCATATTGCTCTAGCTCATAAAATATGACGGAATTGACTGTAACTTCGGATTAGGTTAACACATTTTCACATAATAGGTCTTGCTGGAAGGAGGTCTCTTTGTGAAATCAGATTTTACATGAATATAGAGTCTTTTTAGTAAATGTAATGAGTAGTAGAGGGCGCAATGTGACATTAACATAAACTTTACAGGTTTTTGTGAAAATTTCAAATGGGACGATATAATTATTATATGATATTATCATATAAGATGAAAAAGTGAAAAAAATATCAGTGAAAACCGCATTTTGATATCTGTTTTCGATGCAGAGATATGGCGCAAATACGAACATTTAAGTTACATTCAATTCCTTAACGAGATGTTCTCCTTCCCACACCCCTCATATTTTATGAACTAGAGCAATATGTGCTGCATCAAAATGATGCAAAATTGATACAAGATTGCTATGCATGTATTTTTTATGCATGTTTGTTGCGTAGGTATATTTTAGAAAAAAAGTGATTTTTCTACTTGACCATGAATCGTACGCCCTCTAGTGGCGAAGCTAGAAACTTCAAAATAATTTCCGGCGATTTCTCTTGGCCCCTTTTATTAACAAAATTTTTTTCCCGAAGTTGTGCAATTAACGGGTCCATAGATATTATGGCCTATGACCATTATTAATGGGACACCCTGTACACAAAGAATTGAAGTCGTTAATCAATCTAAATGAGTTCTAATAAACAAATGGAATTTAATAACTGGCCAATCTCAAACAAATCAAAATAACATTTACAATGAAAGCAAATAACACCAAATTCAAGAACACTTTCAATGGGTGCATAAAGCATAAGTAAGTGAGCTCAAACACAAAATGAACCGCTAACTGACAAAGCTAATTGAACACACCATTTCCTTCCTATACAAACTAACATTATTTTAAAATGCTGAAAATTATTGTATTGTTAAACAGTAAACGTGCAAATACCTGCGAACTGTGTCTCTATATATGTCAACGGTGTACTTGTGGTTTGAACGGTGTCTCTATATACGCCAACGGTACTGACAAAGTCTCTACATACAAAATTTCATTTAAATATCTCAACAAATAAAACAAATGCACAACTCTTTACGCCCAAATCGCTCTTTGTGAGTAACAGCTTCACCCTACCATTAGATATGTGTAGTCCAGATGTTTCAATAGTCCTTTGTTAGTACTCTCCTCCGTCATTCCAATCTCGAGGTATTCGCACTGCAAGTTTGTACATTACCAATGACGTCCCAATCGCCTTTTGTAAATATGTACTCTCCTCCGACAACCCGCTCTTGAGATATAACGAATTATATCCGATTACGATAAAGGGTCTATGGCTGGCAGAAATTGATTCCTTTCGCTGAGACCTTTCATTAGCGTACCATGAAGGATAAAACCAGTTCCACCCCCACCCCACCCCCTATTCTGGTAAGGGAAAAGGAAGAAGGGCGGTGTTGGTAAAAACAGTTCCTTTTGTCGCCCCCCCCCCCCATTATTTGCAAAGTATTACTTGACTCCACTAAAAGCACGTGTATGCAAAATCTGAAATCATTTGGTGTTCGCACGTTTTACTTTCAAAAATTTCAGGAAATAATTCGTGGGAGAGCCCCCCTAGGCCACCTATTCCAAGGACTTTATGACCATTCTCCAAACTTTTGAAGGGGGGGGGGGGGTTAACACACGTTCGGCCTTTTATGGTATTCTAATGAAAGGTGTCATAGATACATATATAACTAACCCGCGCACCTCTCACGGGCTCAAGGGAGGGGGGCGTTAGAAATTAATTTTATCTTTCATGGTATTCTAATTAAAGATCTCAACGAAAGAAACCGTTTCATAGCAACTACCTCCATTTTTACTAACCCCTTATCAAAAGAGGGGTTAGGGTGGGGGGTGGAACTGGTTTTATCCTTCATGATACTTGAATGAGAGGTCTCAACGACCTCAAAGACCCTGAAGAACATGTGAAGCAATTTTCAAAGCGATCGGGCGCTTCTACACAAAGTTATTGCGCACACAGACAGACAGACAGACAGACAGCAATAGAATTACAAACAACATGAGAGATTCCACCCTGTATATACATTATACAACTTACGACGATACATACATTTTTGAGAGTTGGCAAGTATGCAATTTCTCCGTGGGAAAAAGCTGCCTGCGCCATCTAAAAAGCACGAACCGAGGTTACGTTGAGCATCTTGTTTTTAATGGCGGTCGTGAACGCGTCGCTCCATAAATGTTTGTTGTTATTTTGTGTTATTTAATAGAGGTAGTAATTTTTGCATTTCTTTATATCGTATTTGTGTTTTGTATGCCACATTTTATATTTTTTGTGTTTGAATCTTTGTTTTTGAAATTTACTTGGTTTAACCGCAATGCAGAATCACATGTGTGTGATACCGTTATGCTATTGTTTGTAATTGTTTACGATTTTGGTGTAATGCTTGCATAAATTATGTTTATTGATGTTGATTATTTGGTCTTATCCCTGAAGTAACATTCATATAAGTTTTGATCATTTTATTTTAATATGTGGAAGTTACCGATTAGTTTGATATATGTACTGACGTGTTGTTTGTTACTAACAATTTTCTCCGTGAATGAAGCAGTCAGGGGGGTGATAAAAACTGTAACCATTTTGAGCTACGACACCTAATTCCGTGATTGTCTTCGACTTTCAACTGTAAGCTCGAAACCCCAAAACCAGGGGCGGGTTACCTATCTTGCAGGAGCGGGATTACGCTAATCAAAACTCTTCAGTTTAGAATATATGTGCGATAAATGAGTGGTGATTCAATAATTTCTACATATCTTATTTTTAGTTAAATTTGCCTACAAGGCCATGTAATTTTCCATCTTGCTTTTAACAAAAGGACTTTATTGCACCAAAGATGAGTCACATCCTGTGTATTTCACCCTTTCTTAGAATCTTAGTACCTGCTTACCTGACCCATAACCTATTTGCTACCTCTTAAAGTCTACCTGCTAGTTTTTGTGATGTTATAATTTGATGTTACGCATTCACATCATTACAAACAATTAATTTTACAACACAATTTGATATTAATTTGACGGCTGGGTTTTTTTTATTGCTAAGTTCTTTTTTCCCAGCCTATTTCTATTTTGATTCGGTGAACTACCATTTTCAAAGTTTATTTTTGCAATGTAATTTATTTTGACTTAAATTTCCGAGCTTTTACAATCAATAAATTGCGATCATTTTCACAATTTCAGTGTATTATTTTACGGTCCTTCCCTACTGTGCTTCAGGTCAAAGCGTTGTCTACAACTAACGTAAGGGGGTCCTGCCTTAGACGTTTGATCACGTGCCACTTTTCAAATTTAAGCGGGATCTTGTTTAGTTTTGGAGGGAATAGTCATTCGGGTGGCCATTTTTAAACGTTGCCGGGTTGACTTTATTTCCGTGTTCTTGTAGTCAAAAGCACGAATGAATTGTCTTAAACCATTTTACCGGTTGCCACTTTGTTCAAAATCTTCTTAGCACCTTGTTTAAACAATTAAGGCAGAAATTTGATTGATAAACTATTTTCTTTAACGTCTAGCCACTCCAAATTAAGCGCAATGGAACGTTCTGTAATTTAACAACCGCGCCTTCCGAATCAGAATTTATTTTTACGCGAATACATGTGGAAATCCGGAAAACCGAAATGTTTTTGTTTGCTGGATCTCGCCCCTGAGACAGGTAACAATGGGCCCTCGTGCGGGGTTTTAGGATTACGGTTGAAATTCGAGAATAGTCCCGGCATTAGATGTCGCAACTGATGCTGTTACAGCTATTTACCGTCCGCCTGACCGCCTCATTCACAGCGAAAATGATAGTTTACCAACAACTCCATCAAACTTCAAACAATTGAATAATTTCGACATGTAAATGTAAGTTTAACTTGAGCCACGAACATTGTAATTAAAATAGAAACCAAATTGAGCAAAGATTTAAACCAAAAATGAAAACGATTTCAAAACTATAAAAGTTAACGGTATCAAACACGTAATTCTGCATTGAGGTTAAACCAAGTCAATTAAAAAAAAAATTGAAAATTATAAAAAAATGAAATGAAGATATCACTAGACGTCGTCTGGTATAAAGACAGTCGCAGGTAGCCGCCCATGTGCAGAGGAAGACATTAGTTTTGTAGTGGGCGGCTACCAGCGACTGTTTTTATACTAGACGAGGTGTGCGTGCACTAAATAACACAAAAATAAAAACAAACGTAAACGGAACGATGCTTTTTCAACCACCGTTAAAAAACAAGATGGGTCTAACGTACAAAAAAAACAGTAAGAAAATTAAGGTTTCATTGCGTTAGGAGTGAGATATCTGTGATTTTACTTTATTCACAACAAAGCTGCAGTAGTATTAAGACTTGGTAGGTACGACGGATCTACTAAAAAAAAACGTATCTTCATCACTCGAGTTTGCGAGTTTGCGAGACCGCGGCTGTATTCTACGCTTCGATATGCAAGGTAGTTTAACAATGTTGCCATTTACTTCATTCTTAATTGATTTTGAGTCTGAATAGCGACAATTTATTATGTTACAGGAGTATAAGGGAGGCGATGTACCCAATTACCATGGTGACATATCGACATATGGCAGTCTGTGGGATCCGCATCACTGTCTCCCGGGTCAAAATCCGGGTTTCGGCGCCTATCCGGATATTATCACCGCGTTCAATAGCGAGCTGGGTAAGCACGTACTCCCCTTGCGCTATCGACTAAGTGTAATAGACCGATTTTAGTTTGGCAACAGCAATGCGGCGGTCTCGTGGGCAACCGCATATCCAGGAACGGCTCGCCCAACAATCCGACGCAGTCGCAGAAGAAACCGCGGCGAAGGGTCGCGACGATAGCGCAACGTCGCGCGGCGAACATACGCGAGAGGAGGCGAATGTTCAATCTGAACGAGGCGTTCGATAAGCTCCGTCGCAAGGTAGGTATAGGGATGACGGTGGGGCGGAACTGATATCTCGATATTTACAGGTGCCCACATTTGCGTACGAAAAGCGGCTATCGAGAATCGAAACGTTGCGATTAGCGATAACCTACATCAGCTTTATGACCGAACTCCTGCACGGGACGAACCCCGAACATAAGGGCAACGATATTTATCCACAACGCGAATATATTTCGTACGGAATTATTAGTTAATCTGTGCTTGTATGTAGTAGTTAATTAATGTAAGTCTTCCATGAACATAGTGAGGTAATAAATTGTCTTTGTGTATACTGACTGGTCGGTCATCGGCGCCAACGTGCACACTATTAGGATGTTACTCATTTTTGGTGCAACAAAATCCTTTATGAAAACTGAACATGGCATCTGAAAATGAGCGAATCGCAACTCATATATCGCGCAAAAATTCTGAACCGAAGGTTTTTTCGATATGCCGTGATTTAAACAACTATATATATATATAGTAAGGTTTAATTAAAATAATTTGGTTCATATTCAATGTCAAGGTTTTTCTCTAGTTGTGCTCTTTTCCTCTTCGAAACAAAGGCGGTGGTTCGATTTTTTACAAATTGGGCGAAAGTTCATCGCCCTTGCGACATTCAACAACCTGATGGTACGATGCACACGCAATGTTTTTTGGAAAAAATATGACTTAAATTTCGTGACCCGATTTTTATTGTTACACAATTTGAAATCTGTTGTCGATTTTCTTTTGCTTTTGTTGTTTTTGTTTATTTAGTTCCTGTATTTGTGTGAGCCATGCCAGGGTTTTTGTCCAGAAGAAGGTTTCCCTGACATCGTCTGGTTGTGTGCGTAATACATTTTATATTGTCTCGTCTTTTCTTACGCACAACATTACGAGTTTTTATTAATTTCCCTTTCCCATTTGTGTATAAAAAGAGTCACCAGTTTTAACACAGCCTTTTACCCAGATTGGAAAGTGCCGCGAAACGTGTCCGTCGTTTTGACATGAAAGTAACGGTAGCTCTGCTCGGTAGTATGGGGTAAGTCAAGATTGCGGTTACTTCTTGACTTCTGCTGTTAATTAAGTAAGTTAAGCGATTAAAATGATTTTTTTTAATTTTTCCTTTACGTCCAAATAATAATGTCAACTTTGTTAGTAAAAGATTGCGACATAGATAACCTGTTACAAATAACTACCAAAACATTTTTCCAGTAATTTGTCAATAGAGGTCGTTGATGTAATGGGTATCCTACCCATAATGCAGCACTGTCTGTATGGTTGCCTACATACGTATTTTTTTCCATTAATTGCATGATGCTATGTAAACATACTTAGTGATAACGTCATAATACACTAATGACGTGCTCTCAAACTAAGGAAAATCCTACTATACAATTATTTTTTCAAAGCAAATAAAATATTTTCGAAAAATGAAATAATAACATCTAAATTGATCTTTATTATATGGTTAGAACCTTTGGATCTATCGTGCGCCCTATGGGGGTAAGCGCCCTTCCGCATGGAATGACTATTACAGTCAATTCATGATTCTTTTTGCATTTTATTGCGAAATGTGTGCATTTTGACATCCTCATTAATCCGGCGCAGGAAATCAGTCAAAATTCAAGATGGCGGCTGAATTTTTTATTTTTCATAGAAAAATTTGTAATGTTATTTCAATTAAATTTGGTTACACTGTTTAAAATACAAAATGGCGGTTTTTTAAATATTTCAGTTTTGAAATATGAAATTGCGCTTTAATGCATTTCATAGTTTTACCACAATAGGAGAAAATTTACAATTGGTCCACAAAAGTCAAAAGAGGCAGTGAATTATGAGTGCTCAGTTTTTCCAAAATGGTGGTCGTTTCAAAATGAATTTGCTAAATATTTAAACAGCGGCCATTTTGAAAAAAATGAAATCAGTGGTTATTTTGTTATACATTTATCTTTGTATTTTAAACATTGTTGCCAAATTTCATTGAAATATCCAAGTTATAGGTTTTTTTTAATGAAATCTTGAATTTTGATTGATTTGCTGTATACTATGTCTCATAATATAATGCAAAAAGAATCATATTTGTTGCAATTTTGGCCAGATCATAATTTATTTTTACTGCACTAGACCCCGTATCGCTACTCACCAGGAAAGACGCGCCTCATATAACGAGACGTCGACACCGAGCTCGCTAGGCGAATCATCGAGCAAAGCAACACTTCCGATTGTCCCCGATCGAACCCGATGCTGGCATTAGGTATCTTAAGCACACGCAAAACACTCTGTATATTACTAGTGTAATGATTTTAGAGTTACTTACACTTGCCAACTCCGGGGAGAAATTACAGGCACCGGCATTGTAAGAAAAGTTTGTTGGCAACAGCGCTTTTTATAATTTTATATAAAGTGAAAACACTTTTCAAAAGTTATATAGTTCCCTCCATTTTCAAATCGCGGTTTGGCGGATTGTACAAATCTTAGAGAAGCAAAGATAGAAAGGGGATAAAAGACAATCGTAAACTGCAGCAAATTTAATTTGTTCTTACATCAGTAACAAAACCCCCTACAGTTGATGGCGTCAGGTTAAAGCAGTAATCGTAGATGCACATCGTAAAGTACGATGGAGGTACGCCACTGGGCGCAAACGGCCGAAAATGGAAACAGCTGACTAAACAAAAGTAAACCCAGTTTTTGCACCAAGAATATGGCCGCCATAGGAAAATTTGCTTCAACACGCAGAATTGCACTTGGCTCCTACGTTTTGTTATACTATGGTTGGTTTTTTATGTGTTGGGACGTGAAACACAATCGGAGGTAGGAAAAAATGAGCTTGGTTCTGCGAAACAAAACAATACCGAAACCAGGAAAAAAAACTAGCAAGAAAAAAATTACCATGCTGTAGGTGCGTTCATTTATGAGTTCTGATCACTCTTTTTGCTCTAAACCTAAAGCGTTCGTTTATTGGTGCACCAGAAACAGTATTGACGCCGTATCGTTTTTTTTATTATCAAAAGAGAGTCGCATCTCATGAGAGATTGCAGACGAATCGCAACAGACGTGATCACGTGGCCATGTTTATTTTAACCTAAAAATTAGCATTTGTGTCATCCTCATCATTTGAATCGCTATCGAAAAATAACAATGTACTTGCACCCTCGTGCAGGAATACAGTCAAAGGCATTTTTTGGTTCTCCATTATTATTGCGCACGTCTGAGGTTAAGCTGTACAAAATTTAGAGGTTATGTTGACGCTCCATCCGCTTCATTACGTTCGTTTATGGTACTACAGTTAAGGCCGATTCACATTACCGGTCACGTCACAGTCCGCTCATGTTGCGGTCTATTATTATAGCGTTATTAATTTGCACCAGTGATCACGTGACCTTTTGCAGAAACCGAAATTCGAACGCATCTACTGCAATGTTCTTAGGGATTCATCAAACCGCACGGGTATTTTGACTTGCCGTATACTTACAGTTGGCAACCCTGGGAAAAAGAACATTAGCAGAGACATATAACTTTCATGTCGAAATTACGAACGTTTCGCTCCACTTTCGAATCAACTGCGCGTGCCAATGCTAAGCGCTGATACTGGAATTGAGCAAGAGAGGAAAACTAAGAGGCAAGCGATCTCTCTATCGCGCTTCTGTTTGTCGTATACTCTTAGGTTCGCCTCTCGCTCACCTGCAGTATCCGCGCTTAGCATTGGCACCCGCAGTTCATTTCTATATGTCGATTAAGGTAGCAGTCGCTCGGACCGAGTGGCATACGAACGGCTACAGAGAGTAACTGAGGTAGCGTTGGGGCATTTTTTGTATCAGATGTTTTTAAGTGAAAGTGCACTAAAAACAAAACACACGATGCATCATAAATGCAAGTGGAAAGCACTGTACTATTTACGTTACTGGTGAAAAATACTAGGTTAACCTCTGTGCGTTTGCCAAATATACATTTCTAATTGTTATAGTGCAAAGACACATTAATATTCATGTAAGATATTGAGACATCGTAAAATGATAAATTGCATGTACATAAAAAACGTCAAAAGCATCGACTTCAATTATTAACAAGAATCATATTCTAATGAAATTTGGCTCAGAGCAAGAAATAAAGATTTCTTTGGCATCATTGTTCACCACAAGAGCTTATACTGTAAAGTCAAGGTGCGGCGGACTATAGGTAAAGTTTTGCAATTCATCATACTGAGAGGTTCCACCCTGCATATACAACTTACGACGATACATACATTTGGTTGGCAACCATGCAATTTCTAGGTGGGAAAAAGCTGCCTGCGCCATCTAGAGAGCACGAGCGGGGGTTACGTTGGGCATCTTGTATTGAATGGCGGTCGTGAACGCGTCGCTCCATAAATGTTTGTTGTTATTTTGTGTTATTTAATGCAGGTAATAATTTTTGCATTTCTTTATATCGTATTTGTATTTTGTATGCAACATTTTATATTTTTTGTGTCTTTCAATCTTTGTTTTTGAAATTTACTTGGTTTAACCGTAATGCAGAATCACATATGTGATACCGTTATGCTATTGTTTGTAATTGTTTACGTTCTTGGTGTAATGCTTGCTTAATTTATGTTTATTGATGTTGATTACTTGGTCTTGTCCCTGAAGTAACATTCATATAAGTTTTAATCAGTTTATTTTGATATGTGGAAATTACGGATTGGTTTGATGTATGCACTGACATGTTTGTAATTAACAATTTTCTCCGTGAATGAAGCAGTAACGGGGGTGGTAAAAAGTGTAGTCAAAATTTAGCTACGACATATCTTCCACTTTCAATTGTAGGCTTCGATACCACGAAACCAGGGGCGGATTACCTATCTTGTAGGAGCGGGACTACACTAATCTTCAGTTTAGAATCCATGTGCGATAAATGAGTGACAATTAGATAATTTCCACATATTAAATTTTACAACACAATTTTATATTAATTTGACGCCTGGTTTTTTTATTGGTAAGTTCTTTTTTCCCAGCCTATTTCTATTTTAATTCGGTGAACTACCATTTTCAAAGTTTATTTTTGCAATGTAATTTATTTCAACTTAAATTGCCGAGCTTTCACAATTTTAATAATTGCGATAATTTAAACAAACTTTTCACAATTTGAGTGTTTTATTTTACGTTCCTTCCCTACTGTGCTTCAGGTCAAAGAGTTGTCTGCCTTAATATTTGATCACGTGCCACATTTCAAATTTAAGCGGGACCTTGTTTAGTTTTGGAGAGAATAGTCAATCGGGTGGCCATTTTTAAACGTTGCCGGGTTGACTTTATTCCCGAGTTCTTATAGTGTGAAGTTAGCGTACAACCTGGGGGTTAAGTACACTACATAAGCGTTTTAATCTGATCGGTGTAATCACATTTTAGGAACGATCGAGTTGTCAGAGTTTGTAAACAACAACGCTAGTGCACAGCTTACTCTGTGGCTAGTGTATGAATTTATAGAAAAGTGACAACACTGTTTTAAAAAATAGTATGTAGATATTTAGATAATGATTGAAGAAGTCTATGACATTTCTCATCATCATCATATGTTTATGCATTTTTGGTGTTTTTTTTTTATTAATAAGAACTTAAGTATTTTTCTAGTGTTTGAGTGAGGAGACGACAACTTTTGGATTTTTATGTTTTGTGATGTTGTTCTGTGTGCCTTCACCGCCCATGTTGATAGCTGGCTGGAGAGACAAGATAAACTCAAAATTTGAGGGTGACCTCTAATGGCTCTGTATAGAATTCCATAGTAAACCATTAATGGTATATTTTCACATCTATTTCAATAGGTACCCATAATTTTGTAACATAAGACATTACATTAGTTACATGGTTTAATTAAACATAGTTATAGTCATGGATAAGGACATGGTGCTTGTTAAAACCGAACCAAAACAAGAAGAAGAAATAAGTGTTGCTCTTGAAGAAAAAGTGTTTGTCAGCAATGATTTTTTGACAACTGTAAAAGAAGAACACAATGAAATTGTGACCTGTGCAGAAAATCCTAGCTATGTACACAATGCTACAAAAGTGCTGCAATGTAATGGACATTCGTTGGATATCAAATCTGAAACTGCAAAGTTTAAATGTGCTCTTTGTCGTTATACTGCTGACAGTAAAATCAATTTTAAAATACACCGATTAACACACAGGGATACTAAAGATTTTAAATGTGCCAATTGTGATTACATAACAAACTATAAATGGAATTTTAAAAATCATCTCTTAAATCACAAAGTGGTAAAAGATTTTAAGTGTGGAAAGTGTGATTATGCATCGAATATTAAAGGGAATTTTAAATCGCATCTATTGTCGCACACCACTTGGAAAGTTTGGGAATGTGACATTTGCGATTATTCTTCAAGGCGTAAGGGCGATTTGAAACAACATGCGTTAATACACAACAGTTCGAAAGATTTCAAATGTGACGTTTGTTTTTATGCTACTAACACTAAGCGGTCGTTAAAGAAACACCTCTTAACACGTCATGTTTTATCACACAAAGAAACTAAGGATTTTAAATGTGACAGTTGTGATTATGCAACAAATATTAAGTGTAATCTTAGTCGACATCTCTTGGTACATAAAGCTTCCAAGGACAGCAATTGTAATTATCGTACAAACGATAAGCGCGATTTAATTCAAAATCTCCTAAAACCCAACCTTCCTCACCATTTTATATGTGGCATGTGTGACTATTCGACAAGTCGTAAGGACTATATGCAACAGCATGTTTTAATACACAGTGGTTCGAAAGATTTTAAATGTGACATTTGTGATTATGCAACACCTATTAAAAAGTATCTTAAACGTCATCTCTTATCGCATGTTATAAAAGATTTCAAATGTTCTAAGTGCGATTATGTTACGAAGTTTAAAAGCGCGTTGAAAAATCATATTTTATCACACGATGAAGCTAAAGATTTTAAATGTGACATTTGTAATTATTCCACAAGTCATAAGCGCTATTTGCATCAGCATGTCTTAATACACAATGATTCGAAAGATTTTAAATGTGACAGTTGCGATTATGCAACAAATATTAAGTGTAATTTTAATCGACATCTCTCCGTACATAAAGAGTTCAAATGTGACATATGTGGTTATTTGGCAAAAACTAACGCGGCTTTAAAACGTCATTCATTATGCCACAAATCGTAAACACAGCTTGAAATAAGGTCTTTTAAGACACAATGTAATATACATAACATTTTAATAATAATACATTAATGTAATATACATAGCATTTATTTGTAGAATTGTATATACAGGGTGCCCATATTGTATATGGAATATAGTATGTATCTGGGTAAATACCGAATGTATACAAAATTTTGCTATATGAAAGTTGTTTAACATTTTATTTCCCATAATAAGGCAGCATTCAGTTGTTTTTGTTTCAGAAAACAAATGAGTATCGAAAAACAATTGAATTTTTCTACATGGCAGTGCATGTTTTCAATAGGCTCATTTGATAGAGATATGATATAACATGTTAGTACCTGTATTCAAGGAAATTTGTCAACAAATTTTAATATAAATTAGACCAATAATATTAATCCAATAGCAGTAAAATGATTTTACATTTATTAAGTACCTACTCAATTATTGATTATTAGAATGCGTATCCGAGGTACAGTCTGTCGCCAGAATTCATGTCAAATACACTTTACAGATTGGGCATTCTTTGGCAGTGAGTTACGTGTGTTTTCAGTGCTAATGAAAAAGTATTCTCGTGTAAACAGTTCCATGGGGCGGGCTACCCATCCTGTAGGAGCGGGATTACGCTAATCAAAGCTCTTCAGTTTAGAATCTATATGCGATAAATGAGTGGCGATTCAATAATTTCCACATATCTTGTTTTTAGTTAAATTTGCTTACAAGGCGATGTAATTTTCCATCTTGCTTTTAACAAAAGGACTTTATTGTACCAAAGATGAGTCACATCTTGTGTATTTCACCCTTTCTTAGAATCTAGGTTCCTGCTTACCTGACCCATAATTCCGAAAACTTGTTTTTTACCTAAATGTTACCTCTTGAAGTTGACCTACCTACTAACCATTATTTTATGTCACTGCAAAAACCAACAAAAATGAGTCATAGTGGCTTTTGCAAATGGCCGACTTCCGTCCCACTCTCTCTTGTATACAACCTGAGTAATGCTCCTTCCTGGTATTCTTTATTAATTGGTCTGATCCAAGGCAGAGATCATATTTAAGAAATGGCCAACTTGTTGACGACAGCTCGTTTGTATACATTTATAGAAAAGTGACAACTCTGTTTTGTATGTAGACAACTTCAGATTGATGATAATATGATGTCTATGCCATTTTTATAATTTCATGGTGTGTTTTAATAAGAGTTTTGAGCGTTTAAGTGAGGAGCTAGCAGTTTTGGATTTTTAAGTTGTGTTATGTTGCTCTGTTTTAATTTTTGGTGGTGTATGTTAAGAGAAAACTTGTATATCTTAGCTCACCTCCACAGAGAAGCCGAAAGCCGGGGGCCCCTTCAACACCCTTGTCTAGTGTATTGAAATTCCTAATCTTGTCGTTGGAAATGGTAGCTGGCTGGAGAGACACCATAAACGAAAATTCGTGGGTGACATCTAAGAGCTTTGTATAGAATTCCATAGTAAACCATTAATGGTTTATTTTCCCATGTGTTGGAATAGGTACCCATAAAATTGGAATGCTTATGGGTAAGTGCTAGTTTACAGTTACATGGTTTAATTAAAAATAGTTGCAGTCATGGATAAGGACAATGCGCTTGTTAAAACCGAACCAAAACAAGAAGAAGAAATAAATTTTGCTCTTGAAGAAAAATTTGTTGTAACAAACGATGTTTTGACAATTGTTAAAAAAGAAGACAGTGAGATTGTGACTTGTGCAGAAAATCGTGGCTATGTGTACAACGATCATTCGTTAAATCACAAAGATTTTAAAGGTGAAAAGTGTGATTATGCTTCAAATATTAAAGAGCCACACAATACTTCGAAAGATTTTAAATTTGAAATTTGTGATTACGCAACACATGTCTTAGAAGATTTCAAATGTTCTAAGTGCGATTTTGTTACAAAATTTAGAGATGCTTTGAGAAATCATGTTTTATCACACAATGAAACTAAAGATTTTAAATGTGACAATTGCGATTATGCAACACACACTAAAAAATATCTTAACCGTCATCTTTTGTCACATGTTATAGAGGATTTCAAATGTTTTAAGTGCGATTTTGTTACAAAGTTTAGAGGTGTGTTGAGAAATCACGTTTTGTTACACAATGAAACTAAAAATTTTAAATGTGACAATTGTGATTATGCAACAAACATTAAGTGTAATTTTAATCGACATCTCTTGGTACACAAGGCTTCCATAGATTTTAAATGCAACAATTGTAATTATAGCACAAACTATAAGCGCTATTTGATTCGACATCTCTTGAAACACAACATCCCTAAACAATTTATATGTGACGTTTGTGATTATGCCACAAGTCGTAAGGACTATTTGCAACAACATGTCTTAATACACAATGGTTCGAAAGATTTTAAATGTGACATTTGTGATTATGCGACACATACTAAAAAGTATCTTAAACGTCATCTCTTATCACATGTCAGAGAAGATTTCAAATGTTCTAAGTGTGATTATGTTACAAAGTTTAAAGGCGACCTGAAAAATCATGTTTTATCGCACGATGAAACCAAAGGTTTTAAATGTGACTATTGTAATTATTCCGCAAGTCGTAAGCGCTATTTGCAACAACATGCCTTAATACATAATGATGCGAAACATTTTAAATGTGACAATTGTGATTATGCAACAAATTTTAAGTGTAATTTTAATCGACATGTGTTGGTACACAAAGCTTCCAAAGACTTCAAATGTGAAATTTGTGGTTATTTGGCAAAAACTAAGGCCGCTTTACAACGCCATTCATTATTATCCACAAATCATAGAGACAGTGTGAAATGACGTCTTTTAAGGCATAGTGTATCAAGAAAGTACCTTATTTTTGTCTTTTAGTTAAAAAATTGTATATCTTCTAATTTTGTTTTGTTTCATTTGTTTTGTATTCTATATGTAATTTTAGAAAAATAAGATGTTAGCTGGAACTATTTAATTATATGAGTGACAAGTGGTATAGCCTCCGTAGTCGCACAATTGCCTAAAGTGTATTTTTCAGATCGATGGTTAATATGGCAGTACTTCTTGAGAATTTTTAGGCTCTATTTCTTGATTTTGACCTTAATTAGGTGATAGTTGGGTTTAGTGGAGAGCGACATCGATCGGATCAAAGGGCAGTCTGTGACGGTGGTTTTGAGATGTCCATATCCCTTCAAGTACCCGGTATATTTAGTTGTTGGATGCAACCAGTTAAGAAATTGGAGATTCTGGGGACATGAGCCACCGTCGATGGTTCGTGGTCAATTCGGATAACGCAAATACATAGAAGATGTGGTCAGCGATGGTCGCATTTTGAAAATACTCAAAATATATCGCCAGCATACTAAATGCTTCTTGGTTAAATCGGCATTTTAGAAAATATTACAAATTCAAAAAAACTGCACTTTCTGAATTAAACAGCAGAATAATTTACAAATTACGGCTGTTATTATTTTATAATGCATCGTGTTTCATTTGTTTTATTTTCCAAAGCCTACCTAAAAGTGTAGGGTGCCGGAAATACATAAAAAGTAAATTTAAGATACAATTTAAGCTTTTTTATTAATTAATCTCATTTGCCCAATATTTGAGGTTAGGAACGAGGTTTTGAAAAACGGTTTTCACTGGCCTCTTTGGGTGTTATTTGGCTACTTTTTCATAAAGAAATATTCATATCATTCCATTTGATTTTTTTAGGATTTTGGGCCATAGTGTCAAAAATTAACTGTATTTCGGTCGATTCTTGTTGCCCAAGGAATGCTCTTTTCAACGATACCAAATTTGTTACAATCGGTCAAACGGTTAAGAAGTTAAGGCAGGTTATTGCATAAACAATTGAACGAGTTTTTGTTTTTACGAAAATGATAGATAAACTGGTTCTCTTTAAAAATGTGAAAAAAGAATGTTTAAGTTTATTATGAGAAATTAAAAAAATGCAATTTTAAAATTTAAGATGGCAGTTACGCCCTCTGGTGGTCATTTTTAGAACTTGAACATTTTTTCCAACGATTCTTCATAACCGATTTACCCAATAATTTTTTTACCCCTAAGTCATACGATGAACTGTCCCCGAGATTTGGTCGAGGGACTGTCTTATTAGGTCACCCGGTACAATAAAATTCAGGTATTGAGTCAAATACAGTTAAAAAGAACAACAAAATCGAAACTCAAAATACATCATAAAAACAAAATGGCATGGCTCTACTCCAGCATCGGCTACCATTAATGTAACACGAAAAACTGCAGGTGAAAACGCAAGTAGTATTCGTGTTAAGCCTGTCTCACAATTGACGCCAACGTGAACGCTAACGCGAACGTGAACGTGAGCATTTAATTAAAACATGAATATTTACTATTTCCATTCACATATAACGCAACGGGAACGTGAAAACGTGAAACAAACGCGACAGTTGGTCAACTTTTATCTTTCCCGTTCCCGTTGGCGTTTTAAACATGCGCGCGCTTGCGATCCAGCCACATAACCTTTAAAGACCAAACAAAACTTAATTATTTTTGTACGAAGTATTGCATGATTATCCGTTTGTTGAATTGAATAGAATAGTCTGTAAATATGTAACATGAATACATAAACTATTACTTCGTCAGCTGTCGGTATCCATTTTTTAGGTTAGTTCAACTACCACAGAACACATTTTAATAAACAAAATATTCCGTTACAAAACTTAACATTCCAGGAGCGTAACGTTAATTGTGAGACTGCGAATTTGTTCATGTTCACGTTACCGTTTGCGTTTCCGTTGGCGTTTACGTTTGCGTCAATTGTGAAACAAGCTTAAGTAGTAGAATTTGCTGACAGCAAGAAAAAAATCGTTCACTGGAATATTTTTATTTTGTCAACTACTTGCTTGGAAATTTATTTGGTTTCCCTTTCCTATTTATTGCAAAAGGTACCTCCTCTACCTACCGTTTTATGAAATATGAAATAAATAATAGAAATGGGGATAGGTAATATTCCTTTACAACAAATATCAAAATTTTACGTTATTTTTAGAACAAAGGGCTGTTGTATATTGTTGTTGATGTCTGGCAAGCTGCGGCCTTGTGTGGGTGTTTATTTGTAATGCGATTTGTTTGACCGTCTTCCATATTCTTTATCTTTGCTTATTGCAGATTAAAATACCGCAACTTTATAATCCATACCTTGTTGCAATTTAAATTTTTTGAACTTCAATAGTACCATTGAATAAAGCTCTTTATTCAATGATAGTACCTATTACATATGATATTAGTATTAATTTATAATAGTGTACCTAATGTGTAATAATTGACCTATACAGGGTGATTCAAATTGGAAAGCCACCATGGGGATCTCGGGAACTATAGATAGGTAGAGGTTATTTGACAAAGTTACCCTTGATGGGGCCGGGACACTTCGCCGAATGCCCACAACGCCGACACGATTTTTGCATGGTCCATATCGCCCACTTATGACCACTTTTTTCCCTCTACAAGATGCTACTTTTAAATTTTAAGTTCGTCTCCAGTCAACCATCATCAACTTTGTTTTTTCTTATGGAAGCATTTTTGAATTTTTGTGGCATTTGATAAATAATTTTTTTCTGATTTCAAAAATATAAACGTCAACTATTTTTAATAAGAAATAACGCTATTATTTCGTAAAAACGCAAGAAACTACTTACGTACGTTACTTAAGAGTTGAGACAAAGGCAAAAAAAGATATTTTACAAACATTAAAAAATTGTTATGTACATTATTGAAATCAGAAAAAAAATCTCTATCAAATCAAAAATTACTTCCATAAGAAACAAAGTTGATGATAGTTAACCGGAGACGAAACGTCAAACTTCAAATTTAAAGGTAGCATCTTGTAGAGGGAAAAAAGTGGCCATAATAATGTGTCATTTATTATTAAATATCTTTGTAAATAACTTCAGTAAAAAACAAAAACGATTTTCAGAATTTCGTTTTTTTTTCCGGAAGTAGTCAGAATTTTCAGTTTCAAAACTGCATTTTGTTAAGCATCAAAATACACAACTTTGCCAAATTTAAACTACCTACCTATCTCTTACAGTTCCCGAGATACCCATGGTGGCATGGGCGTACGCAGGGAGGGGCCTGGCCACAGGTTACGTTTTATGTTTGTTAAAAAATATATGTAAGAATTGTCTTTGATGTTGGCTTCTAATTCAAAACCTTTTCCTTTGAGATTTAAGCAATGAAAGAGGTTTTAAGCCATAAATTAGGGTACCGATCCTGAAAATCGCTGTTCCCATGCCCATCGGATTATTCGGCACACCGGCACCTGCATAGCTAGGCGCCGAGCCCGGCTCACCTGCCATCGGGCTGAGCGAAGTTATCGTTCACTAATCGCCCGTTAACACAAACCACTCTGCAGTGGTCACCAGTGATGTTCCGGCTACCGATTTTTCGGTAGATCTACCGATTTGCCTAAAATTCTACCGATATACCGAAATGGCCTTTATATCTACCTATCTATTTCCGCCCCGTATTTTTTTTGCATATTTAATACAAAATTAATTGATATTAAAGGGGTAATAACTAATATTTTGAGATATAATAATTTTGCAGACGTTTTTAGTAACTATTACCTACTCAAAATAAAAATGTATATTATGTGTTTCATTAAACATTTTTTTTTCGCCAATTTTATTTTTTGCCCCTCCCTAGACCAAAAGCTGCGTACGCCCATGCATGGTGGCCCTCGCATTTGAATCGGCCTGTATATTACTAATTTACAAAAGACCATCCTTCGAATGTAAGACATGTGGAACAGAGATACAAATGTATATTTAGGTATAAACGGGTAAAAAATTAAAAAAAAAATCGGTATACCGTATGTTCCCTGATTGACTTTACAAGAAGAAAAACTTTTACTATACTTTTTGACAAAAATGCATTCTCCATAAAAGCTTTTCCTTGTTCTAATTCGAAATTTCCCTACCGTTTCAGAGAAAAATACAAAAAAAAACGAAAATATGGTTGCACTTTTTCCAAGTCCTAAACGTCAAAACGCGTCTCTACTGTAATAACATTTCGTTAGTTACAGAGTCTTGGAGTTGGTCGTGACCTGTTATTTGAATAGGTACTTTAGGATCGCATAAGACTCATAAGTAGGTACCTATAACAAACACACTTCGTAATGACAATTGACGTTGAATAAAAACCTCTATTCTATTCTGTATATCTGTGGGTGTGCAAACGGACATAAGTTACCTAACAGTTGCAGTCTTATTATTTGCGCATTTTCCAACGAAGTTGGGTGCGCTATTGCAGCCAATTTCTTTGTCCGTCCATTTGTTCGTACTCATTTTTCAATACATTTAGTATTGGTTCTTTTTGAATTCAGTAGCTCATATAGGCGCGAGTAGCATATTCGGATGTGGCGCCGTCTGGTGGCGAATTTAACATAAGGTGTGGTGAAACAAGTTCATCAACCGTTTATTACTGTATTAATATTTACAAGCTCTGCTTACTCCAAATAAAAGAACAATTATGACTTCGAAAAACACTTTTCGTTCGGCCAGAGTATCTTGCTGTGTTGTTGGATGCAGTAATTCGTACATAAATACGGACTCTTCTGTAAAATTCTACAGCTTTCCCAACAGACCGTATGAGTTGCAAAGAAGAGAAAATTGGATAAAGAAAGTGAGAAGAGTTAAGTACACATCTGTTTTGCTATTATTTTACATAGTTTCGTCTCCAGAACGGCCGTTTTTTTTGTAATTTTTCTTTTGTGTGCAATAATCCAATTTGAGGTTATGATCAAGCTATTAAAAGGGATCCCCGCGTTAAATGACTTGTAAAACGGCCCCTTGCTCCCGACTTGTTGTGTAGATGGTTTCCTGATATTTTCCACTTTTCACCCACCAAAGAATATATTAAAAATGGTGTTTCTGGAGACACCGAGACAATTCTTGTCAGAAATCGTGTTTACGAACTAATTTGC